GTAATCATGAATTTATAGTAGTATACTTCATTTAAGTTCGTATAATCCACTCGTGAGGAAGGTTGTCATAAAAATGATGACAGTCAATTGGCATAATTGATTTCATTTCTTGAAGATCATTAAATTTCCTTGCACAAACTGGAATACGAGATCTGAACATTGGCACCCATTGACTTTGAACATTCTGTACACGGTGTGGTAGCGCTTTCCAAATTGCTTTCTCAAACGAAAGCTTGTAACGAATACTATACCATCACTTTCGTACTTCAGGGCACGCAAATCATGCACTCTGGGATCTCCTACTCTTTTTTCGGGTCTAATACTTTGAAGGAACAATTGATTCATTCTTTTGAAATCAGTGTGCCTCATTTGGCGAACATGATAGGGTGATGGATGGATTCTTGCGGATTCCACAAGTACGATCAAATCTCTTTCAGAAAAAATGTCGCCTACGATCTTTCGTTCAATGACGCTGTGCAATATTCCATTTGTGTATGTCCAGCCACCAAAAATTTTTGCTCTATATCTATGTTGTAAGTTCTTGCCAGACTAGAATATGCATTGGCTACCTGTGTTTAAATAACATAGAAAGATAGATATTTCCGCAACGAATCCAGCGATACCAAAATCGACAAATAGTGACTCAGGCAATTTTTTTTATTAGTGTGACGATATAGGATTCCCAGTTATATATTATTGTATTACTTGAATTATTTTAACAGTATTAATATTTTTTTCACATTCTCCTACTGTGCTTCCATTTCAAATCCTCTTTCTAGATATATATATATATATTATTGTTCTTTCGGTTAAAATTCGGCTATAAATTACTAACTTGTTTATTTCCATAACAATCAAAGACCAATAAGCATGTAACAAATGCAATTTGTGCATCCGTTCAGACAGATATTCAATCAGAGATGTTAACATTGCCTCGATTTCGTGGTTTTGCGTGTTATTAGACAGTTTTCCGTTGTGTTTCCAAAAATTAGTAGTGGGCGACGCGACGCACAAGTGCGTCGTTTCAATTTAGCTGTGTGGCCGCAATTAAGACGAATCGATCTAGTGTAAAATGTTGAAAGAAAAATGCGTGCGGATCTTTCACAATGCACCGCAAGATTCAATGGCATTTATATAAAAGAAGGAAACACACTCATACCCTAAATTAAATGCGATTTCAATAACTTTCGTTACGTTTTTCATTGCCAAAGAGGTCTTTTATTAATTAAATTGTATTAGTCGTTTTTCACGGGGAATCGCAACTTGAGCATGTTTTATGGAAGAGCGTCGCAATACAAATAAGTTTGAGAACCACTGGACTAGAGATATTACATGAACCGCCATCATGAAAGCTGATTGTAGAATTGATTGAGAGCAATGTGATATCATTGTCAAACAAAAATGGAGTTCTGGCATTGATTTCATCGACTAAGGTAGCTACTCCCAAAGAATTCAAGGGAATATGAAATTGATAAATAGTACTCAACATTAGTTTTTGTTCACACTGCGATACCACACGACTAGGTACCACTATCGACTAGAATCAATTCCGATGCACTGGAATCGATTCTCGATTGGATTGCAAACTATGTTGAGTAGCTACGACGCCGCAATCTTCACTATATATATATATATTTTGCTAGGAGTGTTTTACGTTTATTTATTTCTAAATTATCTGTGGGTTCTGAGGGATTCGATATCATATGGTATTGCCTATAGGTTTTCTCGGTAACATGTCGTGGAATCGAAGGAGAATCGAATACTTGTAAGTAGTAGTGCTTAGCACCCTTGGACTCATAAAACATAGCTATCTTTAAAAGCATTATTGGCAGGTCAGATAGGGCAAGGTGGGCCACGGGGCACAGTGGAAAATCAGCTCTCACACTCATACTATATACGGAATCAGGCCTGCGGTGCGATGTTTGAATCGCTCTTCCGTGATTTACAACGTCCCCGCAAACGGACAACGGCCGTGTAGAGCGACGCAAGTTATGGGATGAAATTGGTTTTGTTTGATCCATTAAGTGCTTATACGCCTAGAGATGCGTTATTTTTTGTGTAATATTATGGTGCCATTTGTCCTATGGCCCTATATGAAATATATATATATATATATATTCTGGATTCAAAAATATTTTTCACATACAGATTCGAAAAAGTAAATAATTTGCTTTTGGCCGGAATTAGAATTTTTACTTGTTAATATATAAATGGTGATTTTATTTTCAAAATTACAGCATCGTTCTTTTTTTTTTGAAGGTGCCCCAGGGCCTGTCCGAATGTGCCCCACGAGTGTGGTACAGTGGGACACTTGACAGACGTTTTTTGGAGCATTTTAGTCAAAAGATGTGTGTTGCTAGGGAATTTTTTAGTCGATGAATAAATACTACATTTACCCCGCAAACTGAAATGAATGTGCAGAATATAGGGCTCAAAATAGGCAAAAGAAAAAAAGTGTCCCAACCTACCCCACTCTCCCCTACAACACACTAATCTTGTAAAGTCAGAAAGTGGAACAATAACACAGAAATAGAGCAGTTTTGGGCTCAAGTTAAGGATTTTAAAAATGCCGCTTGATTTGGGAGGGGATTTCATTTTCAGATCTCTTTGAATGTACTAAGCAAGCAATGTTACTACCTTGTCGCTCTGAAGCAACTGTAGCGACATTTTTATTACATTTAATAACTACATATTCAGATATATTTTTTGAATGTTTCATTTTTCAATCTAGATGCTTTTAGATGTTTTTTTAGGTCAAACTAGATGTTTTTAGTCAGGCAAAAGTGGCAGCCCTGATATTTATGTGGTCTTCTGACGCACCAGGAATCCGGCGCTTCCGCATAGGACCGCCACCCTCCCTCTTCTACGTGACCCCCTTAGTATTATCGCAGGTTGTTTGTGAATTAACCGTCCGAATATTGGGCGAACAATATTATCTTCACTGACATCGGAATGCGGGTATTCATGAGAACAATGGTTGACTTATAGTTACTTAAATACTTTTTATCGTGTCTGTATTATCTCCTCAATTTTGTTCTTTCTGTATGTTAGCAAGTGCCCCTGAGCAAATTCTCCCAGAATTCAAGACGTCGTTTTCAGCAAAGTGGCGTAGGTCTCGGGGTACCGGATATTTTGATAGTAAGATAACAGTACAAAATGTTAAGAGAATGACACGCTTTTTTTCTCCAAGATAGGTCGAGACCCGAATGTCATCATAAATCAATTCACATAAATGCATCATGTATCAGCACGCGCGCACAGTATGCCTACTGCAGTATTACCAGAAGAAAGCATAATGATCACCACATTAACAATCTGGCCAACTGCATCTAAAAATTTCTTACCACATTACAACTGTGCAGGGTAATTTAAAATAATAGTTTTCATTTCAATCGAAACTTGTGATCGAGTGGGTATTGGTAATGAAGGAGTAAGGAGCTATTTCAAAACCACACGCGAGTTTGACATGTGCTTATCTTCTTCTCGCTCTCATTCCTCCCTGGGACTCAAAGTGTCAAGGTAAGAAAAATCCATTTCTTTCCCGTCTTTCCACTTGGTGGTATGTGGTATATATACACCGATCATACGGCGGTACCTTAGTTTGTATGTTTTTGTATGTATGTTTGTTATGTATTTGATGCAAACAAGCAAAATGTGTAACAGGAACAATAAAATAAATACGTCTGATTAATTCACCAAGAAAATCTACCAGCTTCTATATTCATAAAATAAACGCAATGAAATAGATGAGAAACACAAACGAAAAAGGAGACTCACACTCAACGGCTGAGGCTGATTTTTCTGACTTCCGTGGTCACGAGACCGTGATGTCAAATGTTATGACTCACCAAACAGCGCCACCAATTTAACCTTACTTACTTTCAGGTTTCGTTTTTCGTTACATTTTTGTGCTCTCAATGATGGCAGTCAGAAAATATTGATTGAAACATAATGAATGAAGACGGTATTATTCTTGTGATACAAATGCAACATCTTGCTGTAAATCGCATTTTTCATCTGCCATATTGATTAGGATTTTTTCCATACTTGTGTGACGTCACCAAAAGCGCCGGTTCGAGAAGGAATTTTGCCTCGGGTGTAGTGCCAGAAAATGTGTCTTGCGTGTTGTTCAGGGGCTGTAATGGGATGATTTTTTTAATAGTAGGCTATACAGTACAGGTACGCCGTACCCTTGTTCATATTTTTCACTTATCATTAACTGAGGTACTAAATCGCGTAGTTGGGATTATAGACTAATGTCTAAATGCAATCAGAATGTCTGCGAGATGGTCGCACCAATGTTCATATATTTTTAAATATAATTTTTAATGAGAATACCTGATCTTGTCCATCTTTTTTAAACTATTGCTGTATTGGGTTACTAATTCCCAAACAGATCTTCTTCCATAACAATATTTGTGCATTTTGTGTGACAATTATTTCTGTATTTTCACTTTGCTCAACCTAATGCAGTAGGGCACAGTTCTCCAATTCCAAGATGTCCCGACATTTGGTTCAATAAAACAAACACTTGATTTGCTTCTTAAACGATGGCATTCGTATGGTCACATCGCATGATGCTTGTTTCCATATTAATTCAAATCTATCGTGACATGCATTGGCTGTTGTGTAACCAAAATAGCTTTTTTTTACTACAAATTCCACAGATAAATTATTTCCCTTTGATAAATCCAATGGTGACGTTTGTAGATTGCACTTCTTTTCGTTTATTGTGTGTTGTAGGTTTGCCGATAAGAAGGCCCAGACTTTTTAATATGGGGGATTTTCCCGAAATTGGAGAACTGTGCTGTACTGTCATGCACAGTTTTTGGAGAATAAAATTGAATTCAGTTATGCTTGTATTTAAAAAGGGAGTTAATATGTCAAGTGGTATCATGGCACTGTAGTCATAGCCTCACAATTTAGATGATTTGATTCAAAATATTACATGAATAAACCACTCACAATTCAATTTGTATAAAAAAGAAAATTTTTAATTCATCCAGGTGTTTGATAAAGTTTTTTGATAATCAGAATATTATTAGTTGGTTAGTTTTTGTGAATTCTGGATTCTTGTGAGCAAGATGGCGCAGCTTTTGCCAATCAAATTTCAAGAGCATCTGCAGGTGTGTAACTGTTATTACAATTGAAATTTTATTGTCTGAATTATCAGCTTCTATATGGAAGTAAGCACTAACTTCACTTGAGTGTTGTAACATCCACCAAAATTATTGTAAACTCTGCTGTATTGTGTTTAGGAGATAAAATTTTGTCCTTTTAAAGCTAGTAAAGGCTTATGAATGACTACTTTTATTTTTTTCAGCTCCAAAATGTTGGCATCAATGCAGCTAACATTGGTTTTTCCACTCTCACCATGGAGTCTGATAAGTATATTTGTGTAAGAGAGAAAGTTGGTGAACAAGCTCAAGTTGTTATCATCGATTTAGCTGACTCTGCTAATCCGATTCGTAGACCGATATCTGCTGATTCAGCAATTATGAATCCAGCTAGCAAAGTTATCGCCCTTAAAGGTATAGTATAATCAGAAAACTTGATATTCAATTTTGTTATTCAGTTTAGTGTAAATTTTTTTTAAGTCTGTTCCTGTTATCTTGAAACCAATCTTAATTTTCAGCTGGTCGTATGCTCCAAATTTTCAATATTGAAATGAAGTCAAAAATGAAAGCTCATAACATGACAGAAGACGTTGTTTTCTGGAAATGGATTTCCACCAACATGGTAGCACTTGTCACAGAGGGCGCTGTCTATCATTGGAGTATGGAAGGTACAAGCTTCATGCATCTCATTATGGGCAATATTGAATTATGAATTATTTATTAATAAATGCCTATATATGTTTCTGAATGACAGGTGATTCGCAACCTACGAAAATGTTTGATCGTCATGCTTCGCTTGCTAGTTGTCAAATCATCAATTATAGGTAAAGTTACTGTTCTGACTGTATTCATACCACAATATAATTCATTTTTTACAATTACTGGTTACCTCTCTATTCAAAAACCGATGTGTACTCTCTTACGGCTATTTGTGACTTTTTTGAAAGGTATAAAAATGTTATTCAGCAAAAACATCCATATTGGTGACTGTTTTCTTGGGTTTTCGAATTCTATAAAAAAGATTTTTAAACTTGTAAACTATTATTCAATAGATACGTAGTTACAATAATAAAATTTATAATTAATTTGTTATGTTAGGACTGACTCTAAACAAAAATGGCTTCTTCTGATTGGGATTTCTGCTCATGCGAACCGGGTAATTGGTGCCTCTCAGTTGTATTCTGTCGAACGAAGAGTGAGTCAGCCTATCGAGGCTCATGCGGCAACTTTTGCAGACTATCAGCTAGAAGGAAACAAGGTAACACTTATCTAGAGCAAGTTTGTCGATCAAGTTTAAAAGATTATTTAAAGTTTTAATATTTTTGCTTGTCATAGTTCAAATATAATTGTATTTTGAACAGTGCCAAGTATCACACAATGGATTGTTGTATCATTATGCGTGGTTGAACATAGCAGATTAAATTGCAGTGTGACCAGTCAATAGTAATAAACAGCTCCATTATTGTTAACAATTATTTCAGCACTATTTATACTTTGTATTTGTACTGAAATCTAAAAGATATTTATTTAAATATTGTTATGTAGTAATTATCATGAATTATGGGATTTTGATAAATTTTTCTGCTGTAGTGGTAGGAGAAAATCTTCACCATTAAAGTTAAAATTGTGACTTTATCAAAGATGAACTGATCTATATTTAATATCATTCAAGGTAGTTTACTCTCTGTATATTCACTTGTATATAATTCAAATGCGATCAGTTTTTTCTTTATCTTAAAAGCTTATTTACCACATTTTGAAAAACGACTTAGTCGTTTGTTAATAAAGTTCTTTCCATGTTAGGAGCCATCAACCCTGTTTTGTTTTGCGATTCGAACCCCGCAAGGTGGCAAGTTGCATACTATTGAAGTTGGAAGTGCCCCTGCTGGTAATCAACCATTCCCAAAGAAGGCAGTGGATGTGTTCTTCCCACCCGAAGCTCCTAATGATTTTCCAGTCGCCATGCAGGTTTGTATGATCTAAGAGTATTTCAAGTAACCAACTGGAAAGATGTTTATTTAGGTTTAATAATACTAAGCTATGGCTGCTAGTTGGTTAAGCATCAAGTACATTCTTCACTCATCTTCTAATGCATTACAATTTGCCAGTACAAAGTTTTAAACTGTAAAGATCAATAGCCTAATAATCTTGTGAACTTGTCATCTTACTGAGTGATTGGAAATATTGCTTCAGCCATTTATAAATTTGTCGAGGTGATTGAATTTCACCAAGTCAACATATGTTTTATTAACTTACTAACTTTCATTCAATCAATATTTCTTACTACTTCAGAACATTTATTGATTTTTAGTGATTTTTTGCTATCTATCTCACAAGTGCACTTGTCACTTGCAGAATATTGGTTTCTGGTCAGCTGCTTCATTCACAAATTAATGAGATATTGATCTTATGCGCTGGTTGCTTCACAACTGAAGCTATTTGTATCCTGTTCAATAGAATGGCTGCTAAAGCTATTTATTGATTTACCAAACCTTAGTGTTAGAGCTATATGACTTTTACTAACATATATAATTATATTCTCACGGATAAGGTAATATATACCGGTAATTAAAACCTGTTATTATCTAAAGTGATTAATTGATAAAAAAGTGCTAATTTTAATATTGAATTAAAAATGGAGCTAGCTCTCATTTCTATTTCAGTTACGTGTTTTAAACATTAATAGAGATTGGCAACGAAATTAAAAGCAATGTTTTTGGCTCATATCATAACTTGCCATTGATGCTGGGATATCATCATTATTGTCTGATTTGTTGAAGTTACATGACTTGTTATCATGGTTTATCTCATGTATTTATATACATACAGCATTAAAGATGTTCAAAATTATCTACACAGCAAAATTTTATTAAACGACTAGGCTATTTAAATTCAGACCCCCTTTGACTCTAAATACATTGGTGAGCAAAATAAGGCCGAACCTCGCAACATACTGCAGCAGCATACATACAACACAACGAATGTTTAGTTTTGTTCCAACTTCATCAATTAATTAATTGGGTATCCCCAGCTGGAGCGGTTAGATCAGAAAACATATTCTTCCTTACTGAAACTACCGTAACAAGATATGGCCGTATTGTAAAAATATGTTAGTAGTCCTATTTTGATTCCTTTATTCTCATTTTCTATACATTTACACAATTCCATTACAGGTTTTTGAAAGTACAATGTAACCTTATTAACAATAAATATATAGTCAGGATAGTGTGTAATGGTTAAATTATTCCTAGATATTTAAATTATAACTACGATGATTTACCATCCAGCAGTTGGTTGAAGGAATTGTTTAGTATCTGTACCCAATTTGTGGAAACTTATTCAATCAGAATTTTCAATCTTAGAATTTCTATCATTCTCTTAAAAGTTTGATTGAAAATAATATTTCCTAGGGCTCAGATGTACTTCTTTATCGTATCACATGATGTATCAAAAGTTCATTTAATTTTGTTGCCACTAAGTTTTTGAAGCTTCTTGTGCCCGATTTTATACCAAGCACATTGAATTACAGCATTCTCCGAAGCACAATGTTCTCTACCTTGTCACCAAGTATGGTTATATTCATCTGTATGATCTTGAAACGGCTGTTTGCATTTTCATGAATCGAATAAGTGCTGACACAATCTTCGTAACTGCTCCTCATGATGCCTCAAGTGGAATCATAGGCGTTAATAGAAAAGGACAGGTAATAAAATTGATGCTAGTTTATGAGAAAGTAATTTACACTCATTTGACCCAAGAAAAGTTGCAATGCTGTGTTGAAACAACGAAGAATTACTTTATAAAATTTGCTTTGATAGATTTTAACTCCCAAAGACCTAAAGTTAGAACCTTAGTAAGCATTATAGGAATCAAATAATATAATTCGAAAATCATCTCTTTTTTCTGTGGACCGCAGGAAGAAATTTAATTCATATTTCATGATAGAGTTGATTTTTCAATTTTCATAGATACCGGTAGGTCTTCATATAGATGCGTAACATATTCGGTCTAATTACGTATTTGTTAATGTGTGAAATGACTGAAATTTTTTATTTGTCAATTATTTCATACAAAATTGTTTATTATAAATACTGTTTATGATTAGATCAATTTGGATCAATTTATATTCCACCTCCTTAGGTATTAACAGTATCAGTGGATGATCAGAATGTGGTTCCTTACATCACCAATACCTTGAAAAACCCGGATCTCGCACTTCGATTCGCTGTGCGCAACAATTTAGCTGGAGCAGAAGAACTTTTCTCTAGGAAATTCAACACTTTATTTGCTCAAGGAAATTACAGTGAAGCAGCGAAGGTAGCTGCCAATGCACCAAAGGTAATAAACTGAAATTCAGTAGTAGGCCAGCTATACAATCCTTTGTGATCATTGGTTATGTTGAAATTATACCATGTTAAATCACATATGTTAGGACTGCAGAATATGGAGTTGGAAACAAAAATATTCTAGTACATCATGGTTACTAGAACATTGCGTTGTATGTTTTTGTTCAAATCATGCGTGGGATGTTTGTGTAATTAAGAGGAGTCATAACATATAAATGTGCGTTGTTACAGAAATGTCTGTGCTTTTGGCGTTTTTAATGAAATTTTACTTGAAACAATTTAAAATATTTGAAATTGAAATAAGGTGCTGATGGAAATTTTATAATTCTTCACTATTCAAACTGCAATTATATGCAGCTTTGAGTTTCTATTATAGTATTTTTGTAACCTGACTATTGATAACGTTGGGCTATTGATATGGTAAAACAATCTCAGTCAGTTCATAATTAGGTTTCTCGAATTTTTGTATGTTCTAGATTGTGTAATCATGTTGGTATGCTTTTGTACAAGGTTTACTTGCATTATTATGCATTAGGATTTAATGTTTGACAAACGGGGCATATCGCTGAAATAATAATCACACTGTGTAGAGTGCCTGTCACCGGCCGGTTCAGTAAACTATTAGAGGAAACAATAGCATTGGTGCGCTGATACAAGATACAGGGCACAAAATTAACAATTTTTTGGAGGTTTATATTTGCTAGTAAATTTGAAATATATTACCTAAGCAATTGAACATGAATATAGAAATCTCAAAAAACTTATAAGCGGTCAATTCCTGTGCTTTAGACAATATTTTTTGATTCTGAAAGTTTGTCGTACATCTTTTGTTCATATAAGGAAGTACATCACCGGCACAGTAAATAACTCTTGAGTTAATGTTTGACAGAGTATGAGTGTGATATTATTGCTCAATTGACTCATGGCGAAAAGCAAATAGCATGAAAAATTCACAATACCTTTGACTTTTTGAAATGGTCTATTAGGTGATTTAAATAGATAAAATTTGTGAGTATCGGCCTGTTCAAAATTATTTGTGGTCCTAATACTATTTTTGGTACTCCGTTATCCTTGATGATGATTATTTGGGTTGTCCGTACCAATATTGTTCTTGAAAAATTTCGACACAATTCACAATTATAAAGGTAAAACTGCACTTTTATTTCAATAATCAGAATAGCTTCAAATTCGAATTACAGTATATTTAAACTAATTTTATAGCCTTTAATAATACGTAAATTTTGTTAGCACTTTCCCCCCTTTTCTTTCATAATTCTATGGTTAGGTACTAGGTTTATTCGTAGGAGACTTCTCATAATATCAGTATTAGTATTCAATGTATCCGGATTAAAAACTTTTCAATGTTTCAGGGTATTTTGAGAACACCTCAAACAATTCAGCGCTTTCAATCAGTACCAGCTCAGCCAGGACAAACATCTCCTTTGCTGCAGTATTTTGGAATACTCCTTGATCAGGTTTGTTTTCCATTTTTTAATATTTTGATTTAATATTCTTCAAGAATATCATAATCTTTTTGCCTAAAATAGTAAGTGTATTTGTAAGCTTTCATTAGACCATAATCCAATTTCATCAGACGAAATAAGATATAAAAATGACTGTAAATAACCCAAATCTTCCATCACCATTTGTAATAAAAACATTATCACTTTCCTTGCCACAAATCATCATGCATTCTGTGGCAAATTCTTTCTAAGGAATCATCATCATTCTTTTATATTCAATATTCCCAAATTGACTGTGTTGGTTTAACTATTGTATGTTATGCTAAAAACTAGATGGTTATATTGGAAAAGTAGGCCAATTTTATAAAAACTCTGTGTTTTCAGCTTAAATTTATTTAATTATAACTTTATATAAGACATTCATGTACCTGCCCACTATTGTGTTATATTTAACCCTACAAGATAAGCATGAATTCCTTTGCTCAATTACATACAATGAATGTAGACAGAACATTCTCTTTGAATTTTTCAGTTCATTGAATATGTTAAAAATGTTGATTTACTTACCTTGGTATTACTTCAGTGTGATGCTTTAGTTGGGTCCAATATTTCTGTTTATTATACTCATGTTTATTAATAGTATTGATGGAAATTGCATATAAGAGTTATTTAAACTTAAGGGTTGAGTTGAGATACATATTCTGTGCATTGCCCCATTTAAATTCTATATTTCATCGCACTCAGAGGATATTTTGTTCTGTATTGTGTCAATATGTGTTTCAATACATTAAAATACTACAATATTTATCTAAAATACAAAAATTTGGAGCTATTGTATGCTTTAATATCTTGAATAATGGGAAATTACAGTGAATCTGCAACTTGTTATATACTTTATTCACACCTGAACCATTATATTCATTTGAATATACATATATGCATAAGAAAACTGATGCTTAATATATAATAAATGTAACAATTCAGGCGTAAATTCACCGAGAGAATCTAGAGGCCATGACTGTGGTATGCTTGTAAACCCGTACAACTGAGTTTCAGGTTTTTCATATTAAAGATCACACAGCATAAGTTATTAACCTTTCATTTTATTTGTAACAGGACAAATTGAACAAAGTTGAATCCTTGGAATTGTGTCGCCCTGTGCTTCAGCAAGGTAGAAAACAACTTATTGAGAAATGGCTGAAAGAGGAAAAGTTGGAATGTTCAGAAGAATTAGGAGATATCGTCAAACCACTTGACTCTACTCTCGCTTTGTCCATCTATCTGAGAGCTAATATTCCTAATAAGGTTAGTGTTTATTATGCCATAATAACAATTGTATTAGAATTGGTTGTATTTCCATTTACAACTCTAGCAAAATTCCATTCAACAATGTGGCAGGCGCCAGGATTTACAGTAGTCAAGACAAGAGTCTCCTTCACTTTGACTTCATAACTGAAATTATGTTTTATCCAGGTCATTATGTGCTTTGCTGAGACCGGGCAGTTTCAGAAGATTGTGTTGTATGCGAAGAAAGTTGGTTATACACCAGACTACGTTTTTCTGCTTCGTAATGTGATGAGAGTCAATCCAGAAACCGGAAAACAATTTGCCATGATGTTGGTGGCTGATGATGAACCACTTGCTGATGTGTCGCAGGTGATGTTAAAATTAAGAAAAGAATAACAGTAATTTTGAAGTTGAACATCAGTTGCTTTAATTTTGATGTGGAATCCTTGTAAACAATGGAAGGAAGTCCCTTTGAATCTACATATTGGATTAGTTTGAAGCGCAGAATTCTCTCTTGAAATTTATTGAGATTTTGACAACCTAAATGGATTTCGTTTTGTGAAACTTGACATAAAATATTCCTTAGTTTTGCTGCACACTCATATTTCCCTAATGTTAAGATATGCCAAATACAGACCTTCTAAGACAAAAATAATGCATGATAGTTGATCCGTCAGCGCAAAATTACAGAAAATAGATAAGCCGCTTCTGCAGAAAACCAAATTTATAGCACAGCTTACCACTGTGAAAAACAGATTCACTGTGAAAAATACCCAGTTTACTGATAACAATGATTTTAATAAAAATGAACTGAATAAGAAAAATTCCCGCGGCCAGTATTCTTTTTACATGTAATAATTATAATATTTTTCGTATTAATATACAAGGTATATATTTATATATACTTTGAATTAATCTCTAGCCTCAATTTCTTTTTGGTATTCCACTGAATGTTTATTTCATTGTGTACAGATTGTCGATGTTTTCATGGAATCGAATTTGGTGCAACAATGTACTGCTTTCTTGTTGGATGCTTTGAAAAACAACAGACCTGCAGAAGGTCCCTTGCAAACTAGACTATTGGAAATGAATCTCATGCATGCTCCTCAGGTATTTAACCATGTCTTTATCTATTTCTTAATGTAGTATGTGGTATACAATTATATACTACTGCTTTTAATTTAGCTAGAAACAATCAGTTCAGTTTGAGACAAAGACAGGAAACTTTTTCAACTATCAAACTGATATTTTCAAAACTAATGCTTCTATTTTCCATGAAAGCAAATTCATACTTAATTTTTCTGTGCCCAACTCTAATTTGATGCAAAGCAAATATACTCATTCCCAGATGATGACAAGTACGGCGCAGTAAGGAAGCTTTTCCGACTGGCTTGCATGAAGATTCATATTTGGGGTTTATTTTGATAATATAATTATATTATAATTATTCTAAATTTTGTGCAAGATGGTGGGTTTAGATTTCGATGAACTGGTATAACCGAAACACTGATGGGAATGGAACATGGTCATGTAAACTTCAAAAGTTAAATGCTTATATCACCATCGTTGTCAATTTGTGTAACACAAAGGGCTTCTAGAGCCATTTTTTCGCTTTCTATGTTCTATATTCTATTTATTTTGTTACATTTACTCACTCATTTTCACTTTGTAGGTTTTCTTTTATCTAGCTAGAATCGTGCATTTCAGTTTGGGTTAAAGACAGGAAACTTTACAAATATCAAATTGATACTTTTAAAACTAATGCTTCTATTTTCCATGAAAGCATTTTCGTACTCAATTTTTCTGTGCCCAACTCTAATTTCTTCACACTAATCGTTAATTCAGGTTGCTGATGCCATTCTTGGCAACCAAATGTTCACGCACTACGATCGTGCTCACATTGCTGGTATGTGTGAGAAGGCGGGACTGTTACAACGTGCTCTGGAACATTACACTGATTTGTATGATATCAAACGTGCCATCATCCATACTCATCTGCTCAACCCTGAGTGGCTTGTCAACTACTTTGGAAGTTTGAGTGTGGAGGACTCTTTGGAATGCCTCAAGGTATATAAATGACTATACCTACTATCTAGTCTTTAGTCCCTTTACATTATTAGCAAATAGAGATAGATATATCATGGCATTTCTTATTAACAATTTGCACAGCTCGTAATGATTCTAATCAATTTACCGTATAGGCAATGTTGACTGCCAACATCAGACAGAATCTCCAGCTCTGCGTTCAAGTTGCTACAAAATATCATGAACAACTTTCTACTCAATCATTGATTGATTTGTTTGAAAGCTTCAAGAGTTTTGAAGGTATTCTCATAGCTTAGTTTTACAGAATTATTTGGATTTCCTTGTTATTATGCTGATGGTTTTAAGTATATTAGTAGTGGTTATTTAAATGTAAATTAATGATACATGCAGAAATATATGAGAATGGATTTGCTTTTAATTAAAATAGCAAATTGTTTACGAGAAACGATTTAACATCAAGGTTTCGCTTTAAAAATTGAAAATTTCTATTATCTGTGTTCTTAGAAACAGCTTATCTTAATTCTCAAGTTTTCTGATATTCCTAGATCAGCAACTACTTTTTTAATTGCTGGAAATCTTCTAGATTGCTGAATATTCCAAGTTGTTATATTGAGGATTGCCACTTGATTCATGACAACGACATAAGCATTCCATAACTAATTTCAAAATAGGATTAATTGGAGATACACCATGCTTTATGCAAAAGATTACTCTAATTTTCTGTTATTTATTCAGGTCTCTTCTATTTTCTTGGATCAATTGTCAACTTCAGTCAGGAAGCTGAAGTTCATTTCAAATATATTCAGGCAGCTTGCAAGACTGGTCAAATTAAGGAAGTTGAAAGAATTTGCAGAGAAAGCAACTGCTATGATCCTGACAAAGTAAGATAACACCGTAGTTTGAACTCAGTTTTTGTATTTTGCATCCGTTATTCATATGTGAGGATGCAAAGCAAATATACTTATTCCCAGATGATGACAAGTACGGCGCAGTAAGAAAGCTTTTCTGACTAGCTTGCATAATGATTTATATTTCGGGTTTATTTTGATAATATAATTATTCTAAATCTTATGCAAGATGGTCGGTTTAGATTTTGATGAACTGGTATAACCGAAACACTGATGGGAATGGAGCATGGTCATGTAAACTCTCAATGTTAAATTCTCATATCATCAATGTTGTCAAATTGTGTAACACATTTTTGTTGCTTCCTATATTCTATAATCCATTTATTTTGTTACATTTACTCGATCATTTTCACTTTTAGACTATATATCTCTATCTGATGTAAAATATATATTGATAAAACATAATAGAAATACTTTATATTTTAGGTGAAAAATTTCCTGAAAGAAGCAAAACTGACTGATCAACTTCCTCTGATCATTGTGTGCGATAGATTCGATTTCGTTCATGATCTTGTTCTGTACTTGTACCGGAACGATTTGCAGAAATACATCGAGATTTATGTGCAGAAGGTTTGTACCAAACACATGTAATAGAGTATGAATATCATCAGTTGGTTAATGAAGTTCGTGATAATAAGAATTAGGATTTTATTTATTTTCTATCCAACATTACTTGTTTTGAATGTCTAAACCTCAATGTTCAAAATTCTTCTTATAGGTGAACCCATCTCGTCTTCCAGTTGTTATTGGAGGACTTTTGGATGTTGATTGTGCTGAAGATGTGATCAAAAGTTTGATAATGGTTGTCAGAGGTCAATTCTCTACTGATGAACTGGTGGCTGAAGTTGAAAAACGTAACAGGTAAATTAATAAACTTTTTCAAAACTTGTTTGATAATTTGTTATATTCGTATCAAGCGAAATTAGAACTTCTTTTATTATGTCCATGATTATGTCTACACATTTCCAATTCAGCTACAAGTATATTGGCATCCATACTATTTATATAATATTATGAAAGTTAAGGCTGAATAAAACGAGTGTATTCTATATTACCATTGTCCGAATAAAAATGATTTTTTATTTAAGCTGCATTTTCTGCGTAAAATCAGAGTTATTGTTATATTACTAACTACTGTAAATTTCAAGTCTCAAAAACTTTTGTCTGCTGATTCCTGGATGATGATAAGTACGGCGCAGCGAGGAAGCTTTTCCTTCCATTTTGCAGTTTGTTGTGAACGAAATATAATCAATTGAAATTATTTAAATGGATTGAAAAATTTGGTCACTAAAAAATTTGATTTATAAAGATCCAACATTCTGTAAAATGGATGATTTAGATTCCGATGAGCTGTTTTAACCGAAACACTGACGGGATGTTGTTTGAATCGAAGTGGGACATGCATTGAGTAGTATTTCAGAGATACTAATACAATCATGATTTGTGTTTAACAATCCAGAATCCTCAATTTCAGTAAATCAAAGTAGCCCATATTAGGTCTGATCATCGGTTATCATTATCACTGTAATTTTTTTTTTTGAAAGATTATTTAATCCTAATTCAATTTTTCCTTTTATAGACTGAAATTGCTTCTACCTTGGCTTGAATCTCGTGTTCATGAAGGTACTGAAGAACCAGCTACTCACAATGCTCTTGCTAAAATCTATATTGATGCCAATAATAACCCAGAACGATTCCTGAAAGAGAATCCATTCTATGATAGCCGTGTTGTTGGAAAATACTGCGAAAAACGTGACCCTCATTTGGCATGTGTTGCATATGAACGTGGACTGTGTGATGAAGAGCTTATCAATGTGAGTTAACTTTTATGTGTCTTCATGTTTGACATTGGTTATTCCATTTAATATAATGAACAAGTTGCACCAATTTTCACTTGTTTCGTCATAACAAATGACGAGAGGTCAATCTGAGAGGAAGAATTGTACAGATGAAACTACTGCGTTGAGCATAATCATATGTGGATCTTTAGAAAGCAGTAATTTTGAATGATAATTTAGATATAATTTTAGGTAACCGTGACAATGTGTTTGCGGTAAGGATTTCAACCATATATTTCAAACTACTATACTTGCATCACCATACATACAATCTACTATGTGACCATATTTACAATCTGAATGTTTTTAATGTTGTTCTGTAAACCAAGGCTGGGTGCCCCAGTGTGAATGTACTGTGACTTAAGATCTGCAACTGGAGCCATCATGATTTCGAACCAGTTCCCCAGCCCTGCTGTTAGCGACAGTGATTGTAATAATATGCCTCTCCTTTTCTACTTGTAGGTGTGCAATGAAAATTCTTTGTTCAAATCAGAAGCAAGATACCTGGTACGTCGTAAGGATACTGACCTCTGGGTCAAAGTATTGGAAGATACAAATGTTTACAGGAGACAACTTATTGACCAGGTTTGTTTTGAGTTTGATTTGTTGTCACCTTTCATACTGTCAGATTTGCAGCAGTTTTGCATTTTCCGTTGGTATTTCCCATATTACCTATTCTCCCATGATTTGAAATACAGTGTTTTTCCAGCTATCAGCTTTAAATTTTCTTGTTAAGGTTGTGCAAACTGCTCTCACTGAAGCCCAGGATCCTGATGAAGTCTCTGTGACTGTGAAGGCATTCATGTCTGCTGATCTACCTAATGAATTGATCGAACTACTCGAGAAGATTGTTCTGGACAATTCTATGTTCTCTGACCATAGGTGATTGCTATTTTTTGATAACTATGCACAGCTTGCATGTAATAGAAGCATTATTTATTGCATCCGAATTATGTTATATCATTATTGTTATATTACTAACTACTGTAAATTTTAGGTCTCTTTTATATTGTCACATTCAAAAACTTTTGTCTGCCGATTCCCGGATGATGATAAGTACGGCGCAGCGAGGAAGCTTTTCCTTCCATTTTGCAGTTTGTTGTGAACAAAATTTAAGCAATTGAAATTAATTAAATTGATAGAAAAATTTGGTCTTTAAAATTTGATGTCTAAAAATCCAACATTCTGTAAAATGGATGATTCAGATTCCGATGAGCTGTTTTAACCGAAACACTGACGGGATGTTGTTTGAATCGAAAGTGAAAAAGGGGATATGCATTGAGTAGTATTTCAGAGATACAATGGTGATTTAGTCAAGCTTGTGTTTTACAATACAGAACCCTCAATCACCTCACATTTCCAAATTTCTTGGGATTGGTACTTTCCTCAATATCAACTAAACATTTTTGTTTTGTTATTACCTTACTGTATGTTCGTATACAGAAACCTCCAAAATCTGCTGATTCTCACTGCAATCAAAGCAGACAAGACCAGAGTGATGGAATACATCAATAGATTGGATAATTATGATGCTCCAGATATAGCAAATATTGCAATTCAAAATGAGCTTTTCGAAGAAGCCTTTGCCATCTTCAAGAAATTTGATGTCAACACTTCAGCTATTTCTGTAAGTTCTTTCTGAAACTTGGAAGTTGCTATAAGGATAAAATATGGTAGCGATAAGCCTTTCCACTTACCTGTACTTTATTGGACGGTGGACTTTTTAATGATTTTTTTGTTGCCCAAGAAATTCAATTTATGACCCATATTACAGACATTGGTTTAACTCAATGGTTCCCAAACTTTTTGTTCGTGCGGTGCCAAATTATCAGGAAAAAAAATCACGCCGCACTTACATATAAAAAAAAAAATTGTGTTTAAATAAAACTTGATTTTGTTATCATTAGTTTGTACTTTATGTCATTTAAAGTTTGAAGACATGTAGGCCTAAAGAATAAAGAAACGTAAAATGGAATTATTAATTCATATACACAGCATTCAAAATAAGAAAAAATAAAACATTCATAATAAATTCAACCTTCTAAAAGATTCGATCATATATTTGTTATGTTGAACACAATTCTGTTAATTTTCAGAGCTTCACTTGGCCCCCTTGGGAACCGCTGGTTTAATTAATAAATTGGATTTTATATCGTCACTCAGTCAGTTGCTGCCAAATTTTGCCACGATTGTATTTAATATTTGGGCCATTTGTGGATTAAACTTGGCGATGCCTAATTTTATTAAACACACATACCTAGGTTTTGATAGAGCATGTCAACAATTTGGATCGTGCATACGAGTTTGCGGAGCGTTGCAACGAACCGACCGTCTGGTCACAACTCGCTCAAGCTCAGTTGAACGCAGGAATGGTGAAAGAAGCTATCGACTCTTACATCAAGGCTGATGACCCGAGCATGTATATGGAGGTTGTTGAAGCTGCTGGTGGATCTGGTGAGAGTCGAAACAATGACAAATTACTGTACTCAAGTTTATATACTTATTATAATAAGTGGTATTTTAGATTTGAAAATAGTAGTTCAGAATTTGTTTAGAAGGAGTTGTATAGTTTTGAATAAACAAGGGCAATGTATTGGTCTTTCAACTCATGAGTTATCAAAGAAACTCAGTAAGCCTACAGAATCATGTGACAATCATTTAATGAGATTATTCATCGAGAAGAAGGTGATTGTAAGCCATATTAATCCCAATAGTCAGAACCACTCTGATATTACTTATATACACAGGCAATTGGGAAGATCTTGTTCGATATTTGCAAATGGCTCGCAAGAAGTCTCGTGAATCCTATGTTGAGACTGAACTTGTGTTTGCATATGCTAAAACCAACAGACTTGCTGACTTGGAAGAATTCATCAGTGGACCAAACAATGCTAACATTCAACAGGTATGGTGAATTTTAAAAGTAAAATAGCATTTTCTAGTAATTCTAAGCATAAGGGTTTTATATAAGCAGTCTCTCAAATGACAAACGGCTTGGAATGACCTGTGTTTGTCAAATTTGGTGCTGGGTGTCCAGGTATTAGTTATGGCTTCTGGTCACAGGACTGACCAGGGTTGGTATCTCTAATATGTAATGTCAATGAAGTTATGTCAAAGACTATTTTGAATATTTTCACAGTTCATTTTTTGATGCAATTTCTTAACAAAACAGTACATTTGTAAAGACAAATTTTGTTTGAATTATGTAGCTTTGGATCATATTCATTTAGTATCTAGCTAAGGAGAAAATTATCCTGACATACATCCGAATCCATATTGAGCTCTGTGCCATAAAAATTCTGCTTTATCTTATATAATTGTTCTTTTTCTCAAAATTTGAGGTTGGAGACAGATGTTTCGATCAAAAAATGTTTGAGGCTGCAAAACTGCTTTTCAACAACATTTCCAACTTTGCTCGTCTGGCAAGTACTCTCGTAAATCTGGGAGAATATCAAGCTGCTGTGGATGGAGCTAGAAAGGCAAACTCGACCAGAACCTGGAAGGAGGTATGTATGACTTGAAAACGCTAATTTTGTTTTCAGGATTTAATATAATATGAGCATAATTCGAGGCAAAAGAGCGAATGTTGAAATCCTAAGAATAATTTACTTTCAATAGTTGCAAATGTATGTTTAGTTTTCAAGGGTAAGAAATATATTTTGTTGTAGGTTTGCTTTGCATGTGTGGATGGAGAGGAATTCAGACTTGCTCAAGCATGTGGACTTCATATTGTTGTTCATGCTGATGAGCTGGAAGAACTCATCAACTATTATCAGGTAAATCATTATTTTTTCATTTCTTCATCATTCATAGTAAAGTGAATGCATTTTCATGACCAACTGATCTGTATTTGATGATATGGGATATCAATATCAAGCTTGAAACAAATTGCGATCAAATGAAGTAAGATTTAAAGTGCAATTGGTATTTTTTTGACATCTTTCCAAAGTTACCAAAACCATGGGTATCTTGCCAATATTATCAAGATACCATCAGGTTGTGTGTTGGTAATCCTCAAGTTGGTACTGCTGTTAGATTGGAGTGGTTTCACTTGATAACAGAATATATCAAGCAATAATATTCTGTAGCTTCTTTCACTTTGTAAACAAGTAGAAATAATAACATTCCCGAATGATGAAAAGTACGGCGCAGCTAGGGAGCTGTTTTTTAGCTTGCACGATGTTTAAACAATTCATTCAAATTTATATTTGATATTTGTGACAATAATACATCAAAACAATACACTATTGGTATGATTGAAATTGATAAAAACATTTAAACATTGTGCAAGATACATCAATTAGATCCCGATGAACTGGTATAACCGAAACACTGACGGGAATTTGAATTGAACGAGAATTAAATTACTTGAATAGATTATATATTATTTGCCTCACAGTTTAGTAACACTTGTTTTTTTCTTCTGCATAGGATCGTGGATATTTTGAGGAATTGATCGCTATGCTTGAAGCGGCTCTTGGATTGGAGAGAGCTCATATGGGAATGTTTACCGAACTTGCTATCTTGTATTCAAAATACAAACCACAGAAAATGAGAGAACATCTTGAATTATTCTGGTCCAGAGTCAACATTCCAAAAGTAGGTTTACAGTAATAAATTCATTGAATGTTTTTTTTGCATTTGTTTTCTTTCTAATCAATTTAGGGGTTTAAAAATATACACTGTGATTTTTGATTGCATAAATGGCTACTGCGACAAAAAAAATTTACCTGTGCGTAAGGTTACTCACAGACATTCCTTTGGAAGGTAGATAGCAGTCCAATCAAATATAGTTTAACAGCAATTTCAAAGCTATCTTCAAAACATAATATTCATAGGGGTTTTGGTGAAATTTGTCTTTCATCCTAGATTTTTGAGTGATATGCTGAGATAATGCTTGACCAAACATTTTTAGGTTCTTCGTGCTGCTGAACAAGCTCATCTTTGGGCAGAACTTGTATTCCTTTATGACAAATATGAGGAATATGACAATGCTATCGTAACTATGATGGCTCATCCAACTGATGCATGGAAAGAATCTCAATTCAAAGATATCATCACTAAAGTGTGTAAACTAGGGTGTAGATAGTTTCAGTTCCAATAATTTAATTTTTTTTAAATATATATTATTTTAATAATTCCTTTCATCAGAATGGTCACTTTTCTCAGAAATTCAGTTTCATGTCCCAATTTTGAATGAAATTTGGAATAGGTCATGGTTTTCCTGAAATATAAGATGGTTCTGATTATTGAAAATCAAAATATTTTTAGGGCTGAATTCTAGAATACTGGACTATTTAGAAATGAACTCCAAACTGGAGTTCTTCTCCAGTTCTATTCAGTCACATACAAGATTATATGAACATGAATCAAATTGCCTAAGAACCATTGTACCATATTACTGTTGCAACTATTTAACAATTTTTTTCTGTCTAGGTGGCGAACATTGAACTTTATTACAAAGCTCTTCAGTTCTATCTTGACATGAAACCACTGGTCATCAATGATTTGCTCAACGTTCTGGCTCCACGCATGGACCATACCAGGGCAGTAGCATTCTTCCGCAAAGTTGACAGACTTCCACTGGTCAAACCGTACCTGAGATCTGTCCAGAATCACAACAATAAGGTATAATTCAGTTCACTAAAGTAAATATATTTTCTAAATTTTGTGTATAGAAATCTTTAAAAAGTGGTTCACCTAAATTTCAAGTTTGGAATGAATTTAAGAAAAAGAACAGTTGACAAAATAAAGTTTTCATTTTCACATCGACTTGTAATAAATTTTTTTGGATATTGCTGATTTCAAGATAGGATATTGAGAAATGCGTATATACGTTCTTTCAGATTCATGTGTATATATACGAAGTAAAATAACAAAATTTGTTCTTGGCTTAGTTTTTTAAATACGGCGACTTAAAAAAATCGGAGAGTGGTATATTGAGTGAAATAAATTACATATTGTCCTTATTATCACACAACGCCACAAGCAATGATTTTCACAGGCAGTGAGTGAAACGGAACAAACATTCAACATATATAGTCTTGATGTTTTTTGTAACAAGTTTATAAAATTTTCAGTCCATCAATGAAGCTCTCAACGATCTATTGATAGAAGAAGAGGATTATGCAGGAGTGCAAACATCTATTGATGCTTATGATAATTTCGACAACATCGCTCTTGCACTGGTAACATATTTTTGACCTTGGTCAGACGAAACGTTACAGAAACATATTTGTGTTGGTGTGCAGCAGGACTCTTGAATTAATCAGAATATTCATCGTTATTCTCGCTACAGCATTCTTGCATTATATGGATAAGTAGTTAGTCCCGCAGAAACCAAATCATAAAATACTATTAATATTAGCCTTATTCTTTCAACAACAATTAGTCTAGCAAAGCATGCTTTTTTAAAATATAGCACTATTCATTTTTTATTATTATTTCAGCGTCTTGAAAAGCATGAGCTCATTGAATTCCGTCGCATTGCAGCTTACCTATACAAAGGTAACAACAGGTGGCGTCAATCTGTTGAACTCTGCAAGAAGGATCTTCTGTATAAGGTATGATTCTTCATAAACAAATGATCTAATTTTCATAAGAACTTTCTGAAAACATATTTTCGAATATGCAATTTTGGATATTTTCTAAATTAAGTCGTGTTTAACTGAGAAATTTATAAGAAGCATGTATTCATTGAAATTGGATTTTTTAATGTATAGTTATTAAATTGAACTTTGGTTCAATTGATTTTCTATTTCTGAAATGTCAAGAATAAATCCAGAATTTGAGTATTCGATTCATTTTTAACATTCATGGTTCATATTTATTCAAAACTAAGTATATATATTTTGATATTAAAATTGTTATAGGATGCCATGATTTATGCTGGAGAATCAAGAGATACAGAACTGGCAGAAGAATTACTTGCTTGGTTTTTGGAGAACGAACGTTACGAATGTTTTTCTGCTTGCTTATATTCATGCTATGATCTTCTTCGTCCCGATGTTGTTCTGGAACAAGCTTGGCGCCATGGAATCACAGATTATGCGATGCCATACATGATCAATGTCATGAGAGAAATGACCACAAGAGTGAGTAGATAGATATATTACTGTTGTATTGCTTGTACTCTTCAAATAGATTTGGAGAAATTGGATTATTTTGATTTCTTGAAATAAATTTTTTTTCGTTGATTACAGTTCTGCTTGTTGAGCCCAGATGGCAAAAAATTTTTGAAACGCTACACAACTTGTGAATTTCTCATAACTGAAGTTCTTGGAGAAACTCTTTTATGCACTAAGCATTTTTTACAGTCTTACGAATGGCAGATTTTCTACTTGTCATGCCTATGATGAAACCAAAGAATATATATTAAGAGCATATTAAAATTGCTTACTTATTTCAAACACTAATCCATGTTCTAGATGTAAGAATTCACTTCGGTGTTTGTCAAATACTTTCTATCTTAATAAATCGTACATAACTAAATTCAACATGTTTAATTTGAATCTTGTCCACGTTTTTTCTCAGATTTCCAAACTGGAAACATCAGAGAGTATGAGAAAAGAAGAAGAAGAATCATCTGAAAATAAACCGATAGTTTATGGTAGGATAACTTTCATTCAGTTTTTCAAATATGTATATTTCTGATTTTATTTTAATTTGTGTTTTACATATTGATTATATTTAACATCACTCACACTCTTTATTGAAACTAACTAACTACCAGAATCAATCTTTTAAATTTGTAAATTATACTTTTTTATGGTTTTGTAAGTTAGAAATTGTCCAGGTTTTTCTGGTATAAATGGCGCAATCAGTCCTTAATATTTTTTCATCATCTTGTCTTGTGCGCATTTAAAATTGTCATAAACTATTATATTACTCTTCAGATCAACCGCAGCTCATGATTGCGGCAGCCCCAGCAGCAACTTATGGTTACGGAGGTGCTGCACCCGGAATGCCAGGCATGGCTGCGCCAGGTATGCCTGGAATGGCAGCACCCGGCATGCAGCCACAAATGGGAGGTATGCCACCACAGATGATGGGTGGAAATCCTGGTTATGGCTATGGAATGTAAGAAGAGAAGAATGCTCATGCAGCGATAAATGCTGATTCAATCAAAAATGTTGCCACAATGGCACTTGCTACACCTGGTTGTAAAATTTCAGAATGAAGGATAATGTACAATTAATATATTAATTTTTAAAATGTTTCTTTCATGTGTGCAGAAACCACTGCAGACCAAACAAGCTTTTATTCCCAGCTGTTCAATCATTCTCAATAATTAAAATATTTGTCATGTATTGTAATAATCTTGTATTGATTAGTTATGTGGTGACTAATACCCTATCTATTTGACGTTTTAATGTGCGCTGCAGCATTTTCCCAATATGTCGTTTGTTCAAAACATGGTCCAGGTGCTACAATTTCTCATCATTGAACCTTGACATAAATAAGATAAACAAAATAAAATCACGAAGTTTCAAAATGCTTCATCTTGTACAGTACACTCTGTTCGTTTTAATTTACCATTGATTTTGTATATATAAAACATAATCGCATTTGCATAGTCATAAAATGAAGACCACATCGGTCGCAGCTCCACGATATGTGTTCCAATTTTAGAGTCTTGTAGTGTGTATTTATCATAGTAAATTGTCAGAAGTAATTTTCACCCAATTGTACAGATTTCTATTTGCAATCACATTGTTATTACACTATATGCTGTTGATGTTAACATTATTTAGGAAATGTATGTGATTGGTGTAACTATGTAGAATATATAGAATGGAAGATTTCATAAATATGTAAAAACATGTCAATGACTAGTAATAAATATATTGATTGACTATAGCTTGGAATATAGAAAATAATTCATTAATTTCCATGTCGATTTCAAATTTTTGCTGTTATGTCGTGTTTGTGGGACAGGATTTGATTATTTGGCTTTGGATACTGGCTGTCGCCTGAAGAATTTTAATTGAATATTTGCTGTGTTATTTCCATTGTACGTTTGCAAATTTCTTGTATTGTCCCAAATTTTTCAAAATGTTTAAAAATAGTTGTTTTACTTCTCCTGCGAGATAATGCGTTGACACTTGTTGATTATTCTTGATCATATTACAATGTTTGGTGTGAGGCCAGTCAAGTGATATCTTTCCATCCGGAATGGGTGTGATATAAATTTGATTGAAAACTATATATTCCTAACAATAAATATAATATTGTATGTAGATTGCTTATGTCATTGCTGTTGCCTGTAAATAATAATAACGAAATCTGGTTGTTGCTTTAGATTCTGCAACATTGACAAAAATGAAATAAATTATTATCGTACTACAATGACGAATAGATTTCGTTGGGAGTGGGAAGATTTCGTTTCACCTTTTTGATGATTGAATTTCCCAGTATTGAAGGAGTAATGAAATGTCCCAGTATTGAAGGAGTAATGAATGCCTGCGTTTCGTTTGATGCTGCTATTTGCTGGGCTCTTTCTGTTGAGTGCTCCAAAAGAATTACAAGGTAGAAAATGTAGCGGTAACTGGTCGGGTATGAGACAGGGAATCGACGAATCCGAGTGTTAGGTCACGGACTTAGTCTGTCCGCGCTTTCGTTTGTGCTGCTCGTCAACATAGGTGGTATGTGTTTGGCAAGCCGTGCCGCAGGTATTCCTTGAGCTATTTTAGGAACAAATTTTTCCTCTTGTTTTGAACGTCTAGAGACGTTCGCTTTGGTTCTATTTTGACCGTCTATTTTGCACATCTGACAATAATAGTGTCGCTTTTACGTGGCCGTCCGAAACAAAAACGTCGAGGTTATGAAATTCTTACACGCCAATATGCGTGTTTCTGCAAGCAGTTTTTGCCAATGACAAAGTCGCCTACGTAAAATATATAGTTGCCACTAGTCCATTACAACGTCGTACAGCTTTTAGGACTTTTTAGAATTCTAAAATCACTCATTCTAAAGTTCTTTTGCTTTTGAGGTTGATAAATAACATCGCTCTAAACGAAATTTGTTGCATCTAGCAATGTTTTCCTACTTCTTTTTTGTTTGATGATAAAATTGCAATTTTTAAAAACAAAAAGGATATAAAGTGCGCCGTAGCAGAAAATAATTCATTTCAGCGCAAATTTTAAAATTCAAAATACTCCGCCAGCACATGCTTTTTGGCTCGCGTACCGAAAATCACAGACGCTTTATTAGTTAAAAGTCCAAAAAATACGTAAGCTCAACTCAAATGCAAGCCTGGATCCAACCCATCCATTGTAGTGTAGGGAGAAGATGGCCCTACTCCGCATGTTCTACCCCAGTACTATTTAACGTACTTTTGCGGAGTAACCTCGACATAATCATCAGAGCACACAAGAGATTTTAAGGCCAAGTGTTCGTATATTGTAGAGTTGTACGAACGAATTGAACGGGTTCAAATACAGATATATTGAAATATACACCTTTATTAAGCTTACTATATTTCTGAAGCAAAAAACCGGGACGGCGCGGATTTGACAAGCCAACCTTTCATTCCAGGGGCATAGTTATAGTTCAATTTAAACGTTTTCTATACCATTGTGGGTAGATTACTGGCCTAATAATTATTACTTTTAAAATATCGTCTATTGGTCTTTGCTTCAAATAATGAAAATCGTTCTACTCATCAGAAAACTTGCACTTTGTTTCCGGCATTTTGATGATTTACCGACCGTTGGGTGTTAAATTAACGCATGGTTCATATATACTGTCATATATATCATAACTATGACAGGAATATTTTTCTCTATATCTGAACTAGTGAAGTGAGACGAGAATCAGTGGTGAATCGGCTGCCTCTGTTAAAAAAATATTGTGGTAGTTTCGAATAAAAACTATTCACGACTGTCATACTGCAAAACCGGGACATTCAAGTCTTTCGTCGGGTCGGCGTAATGGCACAAAAACATAAAAAAAGGCTATATTTGCAACTCTGAGATAGAAGCCGGAAACCCGCGATTGATCGCTAGGTACAGAAAAACAGTGCATAAATTCTAAGGTCCTGCTACGATAAATCACCATCAGGGAAATTGCCATAAGCTAATTGATTTCAACATGCTAATAATACATATGATTAAATACCATTGAAATCCATAGTTAGATTACATATCTGCTACAGTAGCTAGGGGAGAAGAGAAAACGAAGTCAATAATCTTGATGTAAAAAACATCAAGCATAAATTTAACTCGAGTGAAAAGAATAGGCTCTCCATTCTCCCGGTATAAATATGTGAATATGTGATCCTATCCTAAATTCCGATGTTCTAGGCTGATTGTTGTAAATTTCTCCCAGCACCTGTGTTTGTTCCAGTCAGCTTAGACCAATGGAATCAATCTAATTTGATTGATTGCAATAGCGTACCCAGTTGTTCTCCATTTTTCTTTTACATTTGCCCACGCGTGAAACGTCAGAAATCACGCAATCCGCTTGTGATTTACCAGCAGTTGTAATGGTGTCACTTCCCACAACGTCATCGATCGTGTTGGACTTTGTACCAAAGGCTGGAGTTGTTTCTATTCCGCGGTGTTGCAATCATTCGTTTGTCATTTTCGCACTCGTTTTTGCTTGAATAACCAAGTTTTCATTCGGTGTTTACTATTTGGTAATAATTAATCGCTTCATATAATGACGAAATAGGCCAGTGACGATGATAATATTCGCATGTACACAATCTGACAATGGTTATCTAACTTATCTGAACAATCGACTTACCGGTAGGCTATGTAATCTATAATGGTATGAACCCTGGACTCCATTGCGAAATCACAAGCTGTTCAGCCATATTGCGTTACGCCATCCAATTTTGCTTCGTGGGTGGAATATAAATAGGCGTATGGAACCTCTATCAGAGTCAGACAGCAGATAATATTTCGTATCTTGACGCACTACTGCACTGCTGCACTGGGAAGAATTCGTTGGTATTTCATGTATTTAGTCTTTTTTTCAAATGTCAGAATATTGTGGGTGAATATCCAGATATCAGGTACCGGTACTGAGATATCAGGATATAGCTACCATATATATATTTTGACTCCATAATCCTGTAATCAGCATAGAAGGCAATAAGATGGGTACCAAAAATAATTTTATATACCGTATCACTGTATCATGACTTGGTTTTGAGTTATAATACAGTGATAGTTCTCTATTATAAATTATATCAGCCTCAAACCGTTATTGTTTCTTTACAAGAATCGGAGAATTTCACTACTGTAGCCTTTAGTTTACTTTTGTTCCTGACAAGTACAACAGTTTTGTTTTCGTCAACATGGAGACACAAATAGAAAACAGCGATGGCCCAGAAGAATACATGCCTGAAAGTTCACCATATGATCACATGGAGCCATTGGAATTGGAGGTTTGATATGGTGTTTGTCTGTTTATGTTCATTTTAATAGTTTAGCTTTATATTCACTGTCTGCAGGTCTGACTGTGGAATCGAATAATACTAGAATATCTGAATATTATTTCTTTTTTTTAGGAAATGAACGCTTTTGACAGAGTTAGCAGCATTCCTTTTGTTGCTAACACGTGGGATGCTTTTAGCACCTATTATTCATCAGCAAAGAAATCTTATCCTTCTGTTACACCTTATATTGAGGTAATAAAACTTATTCTGATTGGTTACTTTCTATCTTCACATCTGATAATTTATGTGGCAAGTCTCAAGCTCCACACTAATTTAGATATCACTGTCTTGGCATTAATAATTCTGATGACTTAGGGATTTTTCTCTCAAGTGTGTATTGAAGGGTGAGGTGACCCTTTCTAGTTGTTTGTATATCTAACAAGATGTTTCTAAGCTTTTTTACAATAATTTGGAAAAAACTTTGTTAGAGTTTATTCAGTCATTGATGTGATATGACATCTTGTTTATTGTTTAATATTATGCTGATACCAACTATCCATTACTAATTCTAATAAACTGTTTACTGTATTTGCTCGTTTTGTAGCCCGGGCCCATATTTTTTTAATCAAACTCACTAACCGGGCCCTTATTCAAGCACGGGCGCTTTTTTACAGTAAAATTATACACAAAAATTATGGTATCTTTGAAGACAAATATTTGACGACATTAATCCTTTTTCCATGTCAATTTATTCACGTCAAACGCAAATTATTCACGTCTTAAAAGAGTAATTCCCTCATATAACCCATAGTTTATATTATTAACAAAAAACAACAAATCAAAAGAAGAAAAGTTTTGCGACACCCTGTCAATATTGAAATGACGCACTTGGCGTCGCAACGCCCAGTTTGAGAACCACGGTGTTACGTAATCAATGCTCTCTGTTATGTAATTGGACGCCTAAGGCGTGAGTGTTATCTACCAGCGCTTAAAATTCAACAGCGTTGTGACAAAAGCGCTTCTTATTTCCTATTGTTCTCTACCACTGAAAAATCAGCTTTTACATCGGGCGGGTATTCAAGCACCGGCCCTTAATCAAGATCGGGCGGTAAAATGAGCATATACGGTAATACCAATTTTGTACTCCCAAGTATACTACACTTTCCAATAGTGTTTTACTTCAAATAAAGACAGCTTATCGTATGATTGCTTCTGGCACTATTAACATAGTATAATTGTGTAAATATATTATCAACTTAATTTCATTAGTTGGCGGAGAAGATCACCACTGGGGCAGCCAACATTGCCTTTGCCACTACTAAGCCTGTTGTTGACAAGCTGGCACCAACTGTTAACTCTTATGCCAATTTGGGTTTGGACAAGCTTGAAGATGCATTGCCAATGATTCATGATCAACCAGATGAGGTATCTGAAAATATCACTGCATTTTTATGACTACTGAGTGCTGACTATACGTAATAGAATAGCTGAAAGTTGGAATGAAATGTGTTTAAAAGTGAAAGCCTAAACTTTCACCAGATTTGTAGGAAGCATTTTGAAATGTTGTAATTGTTTAATCTTAAAATTGGGTTGATTAAAATTGGATTAACAAGTGGCATTTTTTAGATTTATGATTCAACAAAGGAAGCAGTCACCTCACTTGTAAATCGAAAGATAGATTCAGCTCTCTCTGCCACTGAGAGATATGTAGATTACTACTTGCCACCAACAAAAGATGAAGATGATGATGTGGAAAGTAGCGATGATGAAGATGATTCTGACAATGATTCTGGTAGGTCTAAAAATTCTGATTGCTAAGTCATTATCCTGTCTATGAAACATATCTCTTATTAATACTATTTGATATTTAGATACCAACAGCAGTGTGGATAGCTCTGAACAGGTCTCACCCAAAGAAAGGATAAGGGTTATTAGTCATAAGGTAAAAATAATTGTTTGTATATTAAAAACTTATGTCATTGTATAAATATCAGTTGAATGATCGAAATTTTGTCATACAGGTCCGCGAGAGGGCGTACCATCGTGCTATGGACAGAGTGCATGGTGTGCAGAAAAGAAGTACTGAGACTTTGAATAAGTTGACGTTTACTGTTGATTTGGTAAGGAGAATAAACCTTATAGTCATGTTGTAAAGTGTAACTTTTATTTGATTTCTTCATTTTTTTTGTACAGATACAATATGCCAAAGAGAATATGGATGTCACCCGTGGGAACATTGTGTCAACTGTTGCAACAGCAAATGAAACTATTCGAAATGGGCTTGAAGCTTCTCAAGAAAATGTGGCAATCGTTTGGAAGCAAATTCGAAATCGTTCTAGTGATGCTGTAAGTTAACAAATCTTTTTGTTTGAATTAAGTCAGAATTTCATATTATAACTTTTTAAATAATTAAATTCCAGGCTGCAGAACTTCGTGTTTTAGAAAGAGCCAGAACACTGACAGGACAGATCCAGAAGTCATGTGGCGCACTTCTTTCAGTTGTTACCAAGCTTCCCCAGTATGACTACCTTCATGCTAAGGTAATTTATCCTATTTATTCAAATTAAAGTGATTCCTAATCGCAGATTTTTTATAAATAAGTCAAAAAATATATTCTTTCATTGTAGATTTTGAAGGCAAAAGAATCTGCTGATACCCTTGCACAAAACCTTGCTGGTAAAACATCTCTTCGTGAATTGTCTGCTTCTCTCACCACATCTGCTCGCTCCACTTTAGAACATGTTGGAAGCTTGTTTGAGGCTCTTATTGGAATAGCAGCTGACCATGCCCCCATCAGTTGGTTGGTACGTCATCATAGATATATCAGTATACAGTAATTTCAAATACTTTTTGCATGACGGTGAATTGGTGATTTAGATAGAAATGTTCCATGAATGGCAATTCCTACATCTGGTTACTTTTAATATGTTGTTCAACAAATTTTGAGTGATTACTTGTGATACCAAGCACGGATTTAAATACTAATTTAGTTTAACACGATTGTTAGTTGATTATTATCACGATAAAGAATGATTCAGTGGCACATTCTTCTGGTTCAAGTAGTAATTCTGCTTCGAAGCATCCATGATCTGCCTAATTTAGTATTTTCCCTACTTGTGTTCTGGACCTGAACAGCCAGAGGTTTTTAAAAATCTGGCAAGCCATATATTTTTTTCATCTTTTTTACCAATGAATTTGGTTTATGGCAAAATCCAACTAATGATTTCCGAGGTAACATCTAATCACAATGTGTATATGGTGGCTTTCATTTACTCACTGTGTGCAATGCTTCAACATAGGCACCAGAGTTCGACTGCGATCCATTAGATGGCCTGTACATGCAAGATCTTGAGGCCGATCTTCACATGCACAACAGCAGGGTGTCACCACGTGGTGTGTTTTTGATTCTTATCAGTGTTCTGTAATTCATTGGTTGTGGTGTTTGTAGCTTTGTTTCATTTGTGCCTTTTTGTTGCGACTGTCTCACTGGCCCATTTTCATTCAACTATTTTCTTTAACAGAGAACCAAAGAGGCTATCACGTCCGTTTCCAAAGAGGATAAGAAAGAACAATTAGAGGAAGATAATGATTTGTGAATGTTGCAATTTTGTTTCATTGTATATATGCCACCAGTTTGCATGAATTACCAGTTAGATGTTGTATTCATTTTTCACCTTGTATCTATCTGTTACTGTCATATTATGCTCAACCGGGTTACTCTGTGGTGTGGGTGACACCAGATGCGCAGAATAGCCTTGTGAAAATTCTGTTTTGTAGATTTTGCTCAACCTTGTGCCTATTTGCATGAATATGTTTTCATTTAACCATGAAATATTTATTTTTTGCTGATCTATACTACTCAAAGATACTGGGAATTAAAAAAAATTGCATGTCAGCACAACAGTTTTTTTCTTTCATTGCAACGGTGAATGCTTATGCGCGTAAATTAGTTTTTTTTCAAAGTTTCCCTGTAAATCACTTCATATGACTGAGATTATGACGCCGATTCGCTCAAGTAGAATGGTATTATTCAGTTTAAGGTGATGGTGTTATATTTACTTGGATATATGGAAGAAAGAATATTGGTAAAAAATACACCCTGTCCATGGTTGGTTTAAATAAAATTTAGCGGAGTTTTGATTGTGGTGTGTTCTGTATCCCAGTGAATCCCCCCAACTATGTATTCTAATATTAACAATGGATGTGGATATTTTAATGTAAAATCTTGGCACTTGCCTGTTCTACTTTAGCATGGGCCCGTCCCAAATTTGGAATTTACTTTCAGAATACATTCATTATATAATAAATTTTACTTTGTAGAAATTTTTAAAACGATGAATAAATGTAATTTCACAATTTTCAAAAAACTTCTAATAAATAAACTATTCCAATTCATCAAAATTATAAAAACAAGAACGTAAATTTGAACGTAATCCGAAAGTAACAAAATTCTATTCCATTAGAACCATCTTTTCAAAATCCTCCCATTGCTGTAGGCCGGCACCGGCGTCCAATGCTTCGTCTTCCATATGCACATCTCTCATGTTTTCAAATAGTTCTTCAGTTTGACCTAAGGGGAGATCGAAACATTGATTTGTCCATCTAGACCAGGGATGGGCAAGGTTTTCAAACCAGTGGCCAAAAAGTTTGCCCACCTAGACAGGCGGGCCATGTGAGTTTGACGTAAAAAGTTACAATTCATGAACAATATTTACAGTGTTACAAAAGCAACAGTGGAAAAAATAAGCCTCGTGCCAAAACTAAATTTAACCGCAATCTCAACAAGTTCCTTGAGTTATTTTTAGCTGAAACGTCAAAATTTGGTTTCAGTTCGGTTGTGACAGCATCAGGCGGGACAGATTGAATTACCCAACAGGCCGTACTTTGCCCATGTTTGATCTATAGGCGTTTCCATACACTTCCTGACGTGGAGCTGAATTGACAATTATTATCGAGAATCACTTAGGTCGCAGTCGTTTTTCATGTTTGTTTCATAAGTTATGCCAAATTAGTTTTACTAGAAAGGTATAAACTGCAAACAACTTGCAATAACAATTGTTCACAATTCCGCTTATCATCCACAAATTTATAAGATGTAAGCAGATCGCGCCAACCACAATAACTGGGTCATAATTTTTCAGTAAAACTTGATATAAAAAAAAATTTCGATCTTCAAGTACGATCCGGACCTGGTTTGTCGGGTGCTAGCCAATATTCGTCTTCCCTATTTGAGCGTTTGCCGCTTAAATCCAAAGGTTCTTCTTTTGGCAGTTTGTCTTTCATACCTGTTGTAAATGGATTTGAAATATATAAAACAAAGAAGGATAAAACTAATAATTTATATTCCTACCTGGCAAGATTATCGAAGTCTTCTCTCCGGTGTTCTGGCTGAGGTCGAGAACTTCGCAACTGATGAGGAAATAAAAAGAGTTTAACTAAATGTAAAAACATCAATGGCGATGTCTTTATAATATTCACCTGTTTTGTGGACACTTGGCAGCTTCCATTGAAAAAATCTCGGAATTCAATTCCAATGCTTTAGCCGTAACTTCATCTGGACATATAATAAAAAAAGACTCCTAAACTCGAATTATATAGTTACATTATGTTCGAGCTTTCAACGATTTTTACACTCTTTAATATAAATCTCCAATTTCTAACGTCGGTTTAAATCACAGTTGTTTTACAAAATCTTGTACGACCACACTATTTCAATCAAATGCTTACGAATCCTACCTCCAACAAACGGTATTTCATCGCTTCTGTTATGAACCGCATCTACAACCATATTTCCAAACAAAACACTTTCCTCGTCATTTTGCTTCTCCCAGTACTCTGTAAATATAAATTATAAATAGAAGATTCGTTTAGAACTTATGTATATCGTTGCCATGATAATTATCTCATTTGTCCTCAAAGTCGAATTTTACGCATTTGGCCTCCAGCACATAGCCCTTTCAAAATCTCACCTTCGTCAACTTCGGATCCCGACACATATGTATCATCTTTACTTTCCTCATGTTCTTTATTTGAATCATCTATGTTTTTATCGTCTTTCGCTGGTTTTTCTTCAAATATATTTCCAGTGAATTCGATTGATTTCGTAGCTGAACTTGTAGATTTCAACTTGCTAACTTTTCCCCTTCTCCTACCTTCTTGAACTTTTGCTTTTCGTTTGAATTTTTTCTCCATGGTATTTCTGTCTGATTATAAATACGACAAAACAGCGACGGATAAATAACAAATATCCAGGAACTCAATAAAAAGTACAACCAACTGTTTACAGCTGTGTCTGAAATAACTATGATTTGTTAATATGGCGATTAACTTTGTCTTGTTCATACTACCCTATATCAGAATCTCATACTCGATGAATTTGATCGCAAACTGATACACCTATACATTACTTTGTCTGCAGAATAACTAGAATAGTTTGGCATAATTTAATGTATACATGTCTATTTCTATACTGGTCACGTCATGAGTTAAGACCTCCAAATTTCTTATTTCCTGAATCAGAAAGAAAATGAATAGTTATTTCTAGCTGCAGCGTGAATACAAACCTCTATTCCAATGTGACTTTCCGCTAAACCGATTTCTAAAAGCAAACTTCATCAATCTATCTGCTATGCTCATTTTTAATGCGTTTTCGGCTCTTTGTCTTGCACCTTCCACGTCTTTTGCAAAATCACGATTTTTACTATTTCTTGCGGGCTGTAAAATATTTCAGAATAGACGCCGTTGAATAATGCCGAATCAGATATTTCTCTCAATATGTTACATTGTAGGACTTGAAAATACCCAGGTGATACTCCTGAGCTCCGCATAGTTTATGAATAATCGTAGTGATTTCCTAAAATTACGAAATGTTATATTTAAATTATCACCCGCATGTTTTTAATGAATTTCAATCTTGGGAAAGAACCTCTAAACAACTTGATAAATACGTACCATTTTCACAGGAGTATCACTTGCTCGATATGCTTCAATATATCGGTGCGAAATCCATGCTCTGCTGACCCGATCGTCCAAGAACACAACATGGTAATAAGACTAAACAAATATTGTGGGTTAAAGTTAATCAACAAATTTCCAAGACCATTGATAAACTGATTCAGGCATAGGAAAAATGTATATTTATTTCATTAGACTAAGCCGAAAGCGGAGTTTTAGTTATCAGCATATATATTGTGTCTTGAGATTAAAATATTTATAAAAGTTCGTACCACTTCTCCATTTGGGAAGGTTTCATAGAAGGTATTGAAATCTGGATCTATGTCAACCATCGCTGGCCACCTGTGCAATAGACATATTACTTCACATCTCCAAGTACATAAATGACCTAACAAGAGCCATGCAAAAATACTCACGACGGATATCCTGCCATCTTTGCCCAAACGATAGACCCGGGAGAGAATTGCGTGTAGATAAAACTATCTTGTGACGAACTATGCCACTCTTCTTCGACTGCCGAGCAGCTGAAAAAGAGACATAAAATTATTGTTCTCATACAAACGCCTTCTGTAATTTAATCCAACCATCACCGAATAACCAACTAATTTGAGTACAAGCTGTGATTAAATTAAATTAAAAAAGTCAGCCTCAACAGAAGAAAGAAGGTAATAAAGACAGGAAGGACTTAAATAGTATGTACAACATGTAGAATCCCGTACTATCTAACCTTGCCAAATTTTTGTCTGGATTAAATGAACAAATCCATTGTTCCGGCAATATGGACGGATCTAAACATTCAGATAGGAATCTCCATTTGTCACATGCACCGCATTGCACCCATGTTCCTATAACAAAACAGAACAAGGCTACAATATAGAAAAAAGGGGAAATCGCGTTCGTATTTCGTCTCACAATGGTAAACGGATGAATAATTCAATGCTTATCGTAAGTAAGTATTTAAAACAGTTGTGGCGTAGTAACCTGTGATCATGGGGCTTGCCAAGATAAAGAAATTTTGAGTTCATCATAATAGTTTTTATTATTTAAATGATTAGGTCACGTTTTGTAAACTCTTCGTTAAGGTTCAAAGATCATTTACAACAAAAATAAAATAATTTCTCAGTTAAAAACTTAAGGAGAACCTTCTTCGGTTACACCGTCATTATGTTCATTCTGTCCCGACTTCACATTTTGATCTTCAGGGGTACCTATATTAAGTATATATATATAGAATAAAACTGAAACCACGATTAAAGCATTAGGGACACATGAGAAAATGAGTCATTTGACGTATATTGTATACGATATAGGGTTGGGCACAATATTCAAATAGCGAATACCGATTGCGATATTATAGCGTTAATTTGAAATTAATTAATTTGTCGCTGCAAATATCGGCGTGGCGCTCCTGTATTTAACGTTGCGTGATAGTAATGATGTGCCCTAACAATTTCCATCGTTTCCCAACATAGCAGTTCCCTAAATATCAATTGCTTCTTGACTGTGTGCATGCTGGGGCGAAAGTGTGATAAATCAAATTTCGTTCCACTTGTGTACCTGATGAATACTGCAAACTTTTTCTCTTCTCAGTTTTATTACATTTTTTCTTCGTTTTTTTCTCTTTCTTCTTGAGTACTGGTTGTTTCACCAAAACACTCTCTTCATTCCCATCCAATGGACTTGTCAGTGGCGTCACCTCATTGGTTCGTTTGGTTCTGGGAAAATTCACAGTAATATTATTGGATCACACCCACAATTATTTCAATGAAAAGAAGAAATCACGGTATCAATTAAAAGGCAATATTCTTTGGTAAGTAAATTTAAGTACTTACAAACTAGGTGACTTATTCGTCATCGCCTTGGTAAAGTTTTCCGCAGGAGTAAGTTTGTTCGTCTCTTCAGGGCGTACATCACATTGTTTGTCAGGCATCTCTTCAGTTTTACTGGGTTCGGAACCTTACATATGAATGGTCTATCATTAATATTTCATCTCATCAAATAATTTTAATATGCTGTGCTGTAATATGCTCTTAGTAAATATTAGCGAAATATCTAGTTTAAAATCAAACTTCCATTTCAATTCTACCAGTTATAACCCAAATATAGCGCTACAGTGCTTGTTGTAATTATATAGCATTTCTCTTCTACCACCCGTTAGAGATTTGCGTATTTTGTCCGTAGGATCTGTAAAATCATTTAATTATGCTATACGTATGACAGATATCGACTAAAAATGGAAAAAGGTCAAGTACAAACTAAAGCTATGCAACGAGACGTGGCATACCGTTACGTTTCACGTTTTCCGTGCCAGGAAATCGGTCATCCAGTGTCAAAAAATCTTCCGCCAGGACTCGGGCGGTTACTGAAGCAAAAATGTCTTCATACTGCGAATCCGAAAGCGATGTCAGCTTCAGTTTATTCTGTGTGATTTGATTTGATTTATCCTGCAATGCGACACACAAATTTAATTTCTATCCTAGTGGAATTCGATATGCGAAATCGATGTTTCGCCGCTTGATATTTATCGTTAAGCGCGAAACTAATTTTTCAATACCTACATTAGGTTATACCAAGACTACTTCAATCTGATTATATTCAAAAAAAGGGAGTCACATACGTAAACGAAATTATATAAATGGTTTCGAGTTTTAAAACGGCAATTTAGTCGAGTGGCTTATACTGGCAGAAGGAATTTAATGTGACTGGGTTAGTGATGGTTTTGATATATATCTCACAGTATTTTTTGTTTCAATATTCTTTCGGATTTTCTCATCTTTTTGTACTTGATTTTTTTTTAAATCATTGGTCTGATGTTTCTCTGCAAAACAACGAAATGTTAAAATATTTTATTGATTTTTTCAGTCATTTTCATCGAGAACTACTAGATATCCATTATAGTGAAACTTTAATAAATTTAATTTTTGTAATCGAATTAATAACCTAAGATGATAATTTCTCTTATTTTTTCACGTAAAAGACTATCTATCCATCCATGCTATCTTGAATTATTTTTTACTTCAGTAATTGAGTTAAGGTTGTTATGGCCATGTTAGGCCTGATAGTACAAGTTCGTAGCTCTTGAATAAGACTATCGAAATATATATTTCATGACTTTATAGTGATATAGTCTATCTTATAATTACTGTATTACAATCAATGATTGTTACTCCAAATTCTAAATACATAATAGGGTAAACGACCCATTTTTATATATCCTACAAGATATGCGATTACCTGATTTGTCTATTCAACGTCACATACCTTTTTTCGGTAACGTTTGTGTGGAGGTGAGTACGGAAAATTTAGGCTTAAAAGTTGGCTTCGTCTTCGCTTCTGCCATTTTAAACCTACGAATTGACTGATGTTTTCGTCAGTGTATTATATCAGTCTACTATAACTGTCAATATAAAATGAAGATTTTGCTACTTCAGTACTGATGTCAATTTTTAGTCGTCAAGCAAACCTTAAAAATTATATCAATTACTGACAAAGATAACCGGTAGGCTAGTTCTACTGAGTTGGTTGTCTTTTGCGCGAACAGCTGATTTTGTGACGAATCCGACTTTCAAAGCTCACAATAACTATATCTCAAACTTTATATTTAGTTTAACCTAACGTCACAACTAACCTACGAGCATTAAGCATGAGATCAGCAGTTCCCGCATAACTGTTTTGAGCTAAAGTAGCCTACTGCCACCTGTCCACGTCATTTTTGTGTAATTTATAGAGACTAAAAGCGGCTGTTTATTTTTTTAATATCCCCCTACTGATCTGGAACTATACTGGTTTTGCGTTGTCACATGCTACGGACAGACGGACTAGTTACGGTTAACTTACCAGTAACGTTAACTAAACTCCTAACCTAGTTTGATAACCCGGTATTTAAGCTGGTTCCATTACATTTGAACCCACGACAATTGCACCTGCATGCCATTGCACCTATGGAAATTTTTTTGGTTTTACGGATATTTGTACTCATACTAACCTAACCCATGGGTTTTAGCACCCGCATATTGATTGAACCCGCAGATATACACATGGGTTCAAATGTACGGTCACCATTTAAGCTATGTTGTTGTACAAGTTTACGGAAAAGTCTATTTGAAGTATATAACAAGTCGCTAATCATAACTCGTGTTTGTGATTGCCGACTAACTATCTTCAACAAATTTTGCGCCAAGGTCGCAACAATTTAGTCGTCATCCATCGTCTGGGTATTGTTCCCGCCTTTTTCTATCTGAAGCCGACATCGTTGCCAGTATTTAGGCTTTCCCGATGATAAATTTTGTCGAGTTTTCAGCATAATTAATATGCTTTTTTTTATAGCCAAATGGAGGTTTCAGGTTGGCTGTTCAATAGAACTTCGATGAATTCAAGTTTTCCATTCAAATTGTTGAGATGTTCATTTTATATGTATTTTTAGTTTTAGAAGCTAATTTTCTTCCCTCAGACAGGTTTTTAAGCAACAAAGCATTGCAAGCATGTTTTTCCTGTTGTAGTTTGGGTTTTATTTTTCCGTTGTAGTTAAGGAATAGGTTAGTTCGGTGACCGTACATTTGAACCCATGTACATTTGAACCCATGCGTATATCCACGGGTTCAATCTATATGCGGGTGCTAAAACCCATGGGTTAGGGTTAGTATGGGTTTAACTATCCGTGAAACAAAAAAAATTCCATAGGTGCAATAGCATACAGGTGCAATTGTCATGGGTTCAAATGTACGTGGGTTCAAATGTAATGGAACCGGTTAGTTCAGATACTTATAATTTTCACTATCCGGATACCGGATATTCCGTATTTGAACTATCCGGTTTACCGGATAGATGCTGCTGATTTTAAAGAACCGATTTCACTAGATTTTTGCGGTGAATTGAACAAAAACCACCACCGCACAGTTCTATTCTATTATGAATAACTCAAATTTGACAAATTCGCAAGATCGCAAAAATACGAATTGAAACTGGATTTATTCGTGCAGCTTACCATGTATTTTCACATCTGCCAAATGTGGTGGCATTTTAAAGTATAAGTGCTTTTATTTTACCGTACGTCGATGCAATCGCGAGGTGGTATATATTTACAGCTAAACACAGTTATTATGGAAAGACATTTTGAAATGCTCTGATCGGCCACAAATTGAATATTTTGCGGAATAGAAAAATTAGTCCGAGTACCGAAAATTTTGAAATGCTACACAGATCACATGGAATTTGGAGTATTGTCCTCGAAATTCAAACTGGCTTATTCCATCACGAAATGCGCTCCTTCAATGCACGCAACAACCGTAAATATATACTACTACACAACAACTAAATGCCACACCCGACCAAAAAGCGACAAATTCACACCAACACATTCAATACTTTTCAACTGAATTCGTTTAAGTTAGTCTGGTTTATACAGAACCCCCAGTTTCAATCTAACTTATAACAAGAGAGCTACGCACAAATATATGGACACGTTAGACCAGAGCGAATCAGTCTTTACCGGTACCCTCAAAAAAGTTCTGAATTTCCAGTAGCAAGAATTTTGCAGAATCAAAACGTACAGCCAGTCATGAAACTGACTAAAATCCGTGTTCCCATGGATAAAAAATAATACAGCAAAATTTTAGACGAAATATCAAATTTCATAGAATTCACGCAAAATTTTGAAATAAATAAAAGTAATAGCCTTCTAGCGAAGAAATTAATCTTTAACCACTGAAAATTTCAAAGCAATTGGTCCAGTATTCGAAGAGAAAAGCGATTTTTTAAAAACGTGTCAAAGAACAACAACAACAACATAATATTGAAACGATCGTTATGGCCACTAAACGTGTCCAATAAAGCGAATGAGCTCTGCTTTAACGCAAATACGCAATAATCACATTTGTTCTGCGTGTTTTGTGATGTAATAGTGAAGTTCACACCAGCATTCCACGGACAGCCAAAATATAGGCAGAGTAGTGTGAATAAAAGTTGTTATTATATTCTCAGCGAGATGTCAGTCGCCACTTAACAAAAAATACAAAGAACACTAATGCGCATATGCAATATTTATACTGCTGTATTATCCGGTTAACCGTCACAATAATATCCGGATACCAGATAGCAAAATAACTCCCGGTTATCCGGATAATCGCTATCCAACCCTAGGTAAAAATCATAAATTTAGGTAGGCTATGTATCAATTAAAATTATGTTTATGATAGCAGTTTTCATCTATAGCAGTTTTAAATTCAGCATCAAGTCCATGCAAACGAATTCCCATGGGCGACATGAACTGGTAACGGCGCGACTAGGCTAAGATTTGCGAAATGAATACGCTGACTTATTGATTTTTCTCACCCCCAGATGAATACGAAAATCCAATGCTAGCTGCGGAAATCGAAGATATATTAGAATTATACTAATGGCTTAAAGTACTTTTTATTGGAATATCCATACATTTTAAAATAAAATTTTGAATTTAATGGATCAACCTGCTGGCATACACGCAAACCACTAGCGGCCATGCACTGAAAATCTAAGAAAGGCTGAAACTAGCTACCAGTACTTTTGTATGGCAAGTCCTGAATTACATCATTCAGTTTTTGGATAGAAAACGACAGTTTGAGATGGGTATATATCAAACGATGAATTTAAACCACGACTTCCGTGTTTTCCCCGAAAATATGACCCGCCCTGAAAATAAGACCTAGCCAATAACGCGATTTTTTTTTTTGATTTAGTCGATAGCAAGAAATCTCTCCGACACGTTTTAAATGATTGATAATCTATGTTTTGCAGTTATTTTGAATAAAGCGTGTTATTCATGAGTAAGTGGATATCGGTTTTCATATTTTGTATATTTGAAAATCTCGTAACTCTCTTCTTTGTAATTTTGATTTTGATAAATTAAAATATTATACAAGACATTCCTCAAAAATAAGCCTTAGTGTTATTTTTCGGAAGAAAATTGAAATAAGTCACAGGCTTATTTTCGGGGAAACACGGTATAAGAACTGTCTGAATGTTCCGTTTACTACCGGTTGGCACGAATTAAAAACGTGCTCGAATCGCGTAAAAGCACAGCTTCCAACCTTGTTACAGCTTTTTAACCGATCGTGGGCCTGGGGGCGAGTGCCTGGCAGTGATAGCATTCGATTTTGATACCGGATGAGGGAAGAAGAATAGTTCTCCTTCGTCGCATCGCCTTATAACTTACGAGTAATCTTTGTAAAGTTTTGGAACGAATGGCGGAACAAAAATATGGAACGGATTGGAATGGTTCCTTGACACGTTGAACACAAATCTGGGTTCAGAGCAAATAGATCAACATTGGATAATATAATAATATTAGTCTGCCACACGCCTTTGTAGTGTTTATCGATTTATTGAAAAAACATATATATCATATGGTTTGGCGTGAGTGAAGGACTAATTTACAAACTTCATAACCTTGGTATAACTATAAGGGGTCGAATCTTATCTTGGATAAAGTCCTTTTTATCAAACCGGTCTTCCCAGAAGGTACGTCTTAGATCTACGTATTCTAGCAATTTTAAATCGGAAAGGGTATAGTGTTCAAGGAAGCGTTCATTGCCATTTACAATTGTGACAAATGATCTGCCGAAAATATTTCCACGACATCCAGAACATTTGCTGACGGTTGTGCCACTTGGGAGATTTATCAGACATACAAACGACACTAAATCAAATCAGTTCGTGGTGTCACGCGTTAGGATTTAACATTTCGATGACAAAATCGTGTGCTGTATTATTTTCAAGATCACCTAAGCCACTACCAATACATATCTACATTGATGGACAGGAATTGCCTATTTAATTCGAATATAAATACCTTGGCGTTGTATTCAACAATAAGTTGACGTACAATGCTCATATAGAACAGGCAACACACAAATGTGATAAAAGATTAAATTTGTTAACCCGTATCCGCCCCGCCGTTGATCCATCCGTTGTATAAATTAATAGGTACTGACCGTAATTATCGGAAATATATTCATCATATGCTTGTTTCACTTAGGTAAGAAATTTGTTTTTGATATAATTTTAGCAAGCGATGAATCAAATGCGATGAATCAAATGTTTCAAATATGTTTACATTTGACATAATGTTAAGTTCATTCACAACTGAACTTTACGCTGTGTATATGGATAGTTTTTCGTTGACCGTCAAATTTTTAAATTTCAACAGATTGTCCGGACTTTTTACAGAGATTAAAAATAAACTCTCTGTAGGTCATATACTAATTTTTCAAATTCAAAACTATTCCATCTTCGCTCAGGAGTAAAAATATTTTCGTAGATTTTGCGAGGATCCCGGAACATGTTAAGATTGCTGCAGATAAACTAGTAAAAAAGCAACAATGCAAGAAAATAGTGTAACTTCAGTCATCATACTTTCGAAAAACGAAGCGAAGTCAATTATCAAGTCAAAGTGCAAAATTGATTGGAATAATTAATGGATCAACTGGAGAATTCCCCCCTCCAACTGAGACCTGTAGAATCTTCACCCCAACTAAGACCATCTAACCCTACCAAATAATTAGTCCAGGTCAAATGAAGGATCAACTGGTATTATCGGCTTATACACTCGATTTGATCCAGATTTGTTTTCCAAATATTATACTTTTGATTGTTTTTGGAAGGTTGTAAAAAAAGTTTGTTTCACGTGTCGAGTTTTGTATTTTCAGAATATATACATACATATTTTAAACGTAATTTGCCTAAAGTTTTATTTGCCAAATATCAATATTTTTCGTGTGAGGATGATTTTCATGGCTTTTCTGTCATCTATTACAAAGCTCTTCAAACTGGAGGTCTCGACCTTTCGTTGGACTCAGGGGGTTGTGGTAAAATCGACACTAAATTATGTTGAAGCAAAATATTGATTAGATTTAAAAGATTTGAAATCATTACTGAGACCCATCGCAATAGAGCCAAGATTCGATCTTTTGTGCTAGAATATTTAAACACATTGGTCCTATTAGAGGTATTAACATTTTTCTTAATACTTTTTGTGTTATTAAATTTTACTTCATTTTAGAATTTAGAGGGTTACGAAAAAATTTGCACGTGTCAAGTGGACCGTGATAAAAACGTTTGAAGAACCCTGCCCTATTATATTTCCCTAGGAAAGTTTGAGTATTTTTACAAGTCTGAGTAGAACAAACTTATTAACTATAAGATTTACATCCTTTGTGATTTACTATTTTATTGCCATCGAATAAAAAGAAATGATAATTTTTATTAAGAAAAAGAGTCTGCTGAGCACCGAACTTCTTTGTTGATAGGCAACTTATGTGGTGACGTATATTTGTACGTGGTGCCGTGTTACCATGACTTCACACATCAAGCAATCGACTTCAGAGTTAAAATATTGAGGCATTTCAAAATAATAATATTTCAACGTATTCACGCGTTTACTTTGTGTTTCGGGGATACTTTCTTCTTTTTCCTCATATGTATGCGATAAAATCCCGATTTGCCACACTGTAAAATATAATAGAAAATTCACTCACGAGTATTTCATAACTTTTAACCAATATTAAAAAGAGAAAAAAATGTGAAACCTTTGTATTTTTGAAAATAAATAGGTGTAATAATTTTTTACTTTATATTGTAATATTTTGTTCTCATACTGGTTTCGTCGCGTGCACACTTGTATGTTCTAGTCTCAAATTATGATTTTCATATATCATTGAATTTATCATGTGATTATTCGTCGTCTTGTATTACATCTAGGGCTGGACATTTTTGAATATCTAATGATTTCAGAATTGAATCGAATATTTTTTAAATCGAATCTCAAATGCTTGGAAGACATGTAGTCGTATTGACTGTTTATTTGTAATGGGTTCAGACACATAAATTAGTGAAACACGTAATCTATCACCCAGACAGTTCGCTGACATGTTTCATCAATTGCTCACTCAGAAGAAATATATATATATATAAATATATGTCAGAATTGATTTTTAAATATTTGACATGAATGAAAAAATGAGGGCTTAATCTCGACCTGCGGGCGGACAAAAAAAAAAAAGATGGCGGTGATTCGAAAGTCCCGTCTGAATCGATTCGAATAATTTACTATTCGGTTCGACTCGAGTATTCGATTCGAAATGCCCAGGCCTAATTACATCATATATTATTATCTCACCTGTCTTAAAAGCACTACAAGTAAAAATATTCCGAGCAGTGCCCCGCCCACAGCAATCATCGATATGCCCCAAGTAGGAACGGCAGCGGCTTGAATTTTTGCAGTAATGGCCACTGCGCTAGTTTGATTGACTTGTGTTGTTGCCTGTACAGTTGATGAAACATATATTGTCGTTTCATTCGGCTTCGTGGTCAGTTTCTGCGTTGTAACAAGAATTGTTGTGGGAGGCTTCTGTGCAATGTAGCATTGAACCGAAAATATCCTACTCTGACATATTTTACGCAGCTCCATTATAGCTTTCAGATTTTCTGTTTCAGCATGATCAACGTTTTCTGCTGATCCATAATCATGTAACATACTTTCATTGAACATCGTCATCACGGACATATCGTCGACAAAGCATTCGAATTGCTTTTCTTGATTCTCATCTGATTTCGTTTCAGCACTCTTCTTAATATTCGCGTCGGCTGGGACACTGATTTCAGATGATGTCATGTTGATACACACCAAATTGATAGGTTTATTAGGATCGTCAAAGTCTTCGCTTGTGGTTGATAAACTGGCTCCATCTATGCTATATCTACACTGATGATAGGTTTTGAATGAAGTGCTTTGGTCGGATATGCTCAAGTGGAGATACCGAATGAGACCTTTGTTAATTACTTGTTCAGAAGAAAGAGAACATATATTCTGAAAATCAAAAGAACATATTCAAATATATAGGTAATTAATATGACATGGACCTATAGTTTCACGTTTGTTATTTCTACTAACAAATTCTTTGTTGTTTTAATAAGCACAATACTTTGTGAAAATGATAACGTTAGCTTCGTGCTGAAATTTGAATGAAATTCATAGTTAGCGTTTTCTTGTGGTTTGAATTCATTAGCGCGAACACTTAGGCGTGTTTTTTGTTTATCTGCAAATGCATTATTAATTTAACCTTTCATATTTTGAACAAGGGAAAGCACGCGAGACTGTGGCGTGGTTAGCTTGCAGTTTTATCAGACACCAGGCAGTATATCTCACACCAAGAAAGCGTAATTGTGGCGAGGAGGTATTTCAGATTGATCTAAAACTTCACTACGTATAATGCTGCATTGTATACGTAACACAAATCACGGAAAACTAAGAGATAAAATCATCAGCATATTGTTTGGCAACAAATTCTTGTTAAAATATTAAAAAGCTTCCTTACGTAGTCCGATTTTTCTGCAGTGCCACACTCCAGATGCCCAGATGTTTCCGGAATGGGCACAAATGAGGACTCTTCACATGTTTTTGGCCCTGTAAATAAATGGTAATACAATGGTCTGCTAACTTTTATTAACGACCGAAAATAATCACCTGTAATAACGACAACATTATTTTCATGTAAAATTTGTTTTAGGAGATGAAGTACAATTTTATATATTTATGCATTCTTTTTTGCAATGGTCGGAATTCTTACTTTTAGTTGTTCTCGTTCTTGTGGGAGTTCGGCGGGTTGGTTTTTTCCTTTTTCTTCTTGTTGTCCTTGGCACTGTCGTCGTTGGTAGTTGCGAAACCGAAACTATGAAATTAGGAGAAAAAACGATTGAAAGATAAAAATTGGTATTTCTTGGTATAAAATTTCACACATCATTCCGGAGGTTTGCGTAAATCGAGACTAACCTAAGTTACATCCACAAGCCGAAGGTCCTTTTTTGTTGCACAAATTTCCCTCGCAACAAAGAGAACAAACTCTCGGACACTCGTGTGAGTTTTGAGAAGCAAGTATAGCACAAGCCTTTCCCTGATAACAGGATTTCGTGATCGATACTCTGTCACCGTAATTACGAATTTCGGTATAACACATTTCCTGCAAAATAATAGAGAATTTTAAAATTGTTATCATGGTTAGAAATACTTTTTTTGTGAAAAAAAATATCTTAACAACGAAGCAAAACCATTCGGCATCTCCTGAAAATACATTTGCGAGTGCCGGAACGTTGAAAAATTATCACGAATGCAAGCTAATTATAGGCTACTTGCCAAGGTAAATTTTCTTTGTTGTAAAATTACGCATAATATGAGCGTGACAACTGGGCAACGGCTTATGTTCAAATTACAGAAATTGTAATAGTATTTGAAACTCATAAACATTTTTTTTATTTATTATACGAGATTAGCACTTTGCACAATGGAAATAATTGCTTCTTATCTTGTATACTAAATTAAAATATATATATATATGTGTGGTGATGGATCATAAATATTAGTCATGGATGCTTTGCTAACTATCCGGAATGAATATAAGTCTAGTAGACTATTTAATCAAAAGTCAGACACTTTACCTGATCGACTTCACATGTCCTAGTTTTCCAGCTACATTCACTTTCACTTGCCGCGTTTACGCACTCGTAACATCTCAGTGCTACAAAACATGAGTAAATGTGTCAGATTCTGAGGAACTTATTATTCAGCTAGTAATTTTCTATTAGACCCGAGTTGAATTTATCGACTTGGTATACAACGAGAGACAACCAAATGAGATCCGTCTCGAAGATAATGGATGATAATTTAAAATTTCAAAGACAAATTAATTCATTATTTTCCAATAGGTTTGAGCATTTTTAACAGTCGTAATTGCATTGGAAAAATCCTGCAGGCAGTTTAACGTTTCAAGTTTTTTACCAAAATTAAGTTCGTTCGTGTTAATACTATTTTATTAACATTCACCTCGTGTGTAATTTATAAACCACACACCGAAGCATTGTCTGGTATAAATAAATTAAAAAAAGTAATTGGGTAATATCGGTGAAATTCGGAATATATGAGTATAGCATATTGAGGTCAAAATTATACATTATTTGATCTGTGCCATAATGGCGCTCCTCCCATTAGTAATCTTATCCAATACATTAGCAGTCGAAGTTCATTCATCCGGCTGTCGGATACCCATTTCCGTGAACTCGGTGTTCATTGGATTTTTCTCAGTTTCAAGTATACTACATATATGCTGGTTGGAACATCATGCTCGAAGACGTTTAAACGTAATTTTACATTTGATTAGATTAAAAAGGGGGTGTATCAAAAATGCCAAAGAGCCAAAAATATGTTTGCAAAGTAAATTTGGTGAATGTTTGTGTTGCCACGATTTTTTTTACATAACTAACCAGCTTATAGGTAGGCAAGGTGGAATTTCATAATGCTCAGTCATTACAATTGAATATCTCAACGCAAAACTTGTTTTCTCTATAAGATTATCATTGTTTTATCCGATCAGAACAGGGAACATAGAATACAAGCAGAATAATAGCGGGTCGGGTACGAAAAAAACATTTTGCGGCAACTTGCAAATCCACCAAATCAGAGATTTCCGCCGTTAATAAAGTAATATGGCATAATAAAAAAAACATAGTACCTTTGGCTATTTTCATTAGACAAACAAATATAACCATCGAAACTGTCATCACAGATACCGTCTTCATGTTCATAACAATTAATTGCTACGAATCCTCTGTATACAGAAACCAATTAACTATTGCAATTAAATCGCAAGGGATACACCAATACTATAGTACAGTGGGAAATACGTTTAAAGTCATATACGACTATATTGCTAGATGCGCTTTCTTCCTTCTCATTTGTCAATCTGCGATCCGCAAATAGAAATATATCAAATAAGCACCTAGTAATTTTAAGTAGGTCGTGATTTAACGGCGAAAGGCAACATGATATTGTTGATGCCAGTTCTCTCAAATTTGTAATGAGGTGGTGATACTATGACTCGGTACATTTGAGATTTTTGGCGAAATTGTTGTCTTTTTATTTAAATTATAACATTTTGTCCTTTGCTATGTGAAGACAGGGTTACTGGCTATTCCCTCGAAAATGAGAAAGTATTTACAATACTATGACTTCCAAATACACTTTCAGTAGTAAGCTTTATCTCTAAACTATACAAAGATGCTGTCTATTAGCTTTCTTTCAACTGCTCTTCGATTTGCTATAATGAACTTCTGCACTCCATATATGCATAATGTGAAAAATAATATTGTTCCTGTTTCCACAATTTACGCAACAGCCCAAAGTTCTTCCTGTTGCCCAAATAATATACCAAACTTCGAGGACGAAAAAATCTTCCATATATACAATATATGTTTCAATCAGAACGCAATGAAATATTCAAGAGAAAGGCAACTGTGAAACGTCGTAGAAAACACCTTTTACTCATTAGATAAATTAAAACGCCCTATCATCCAGACTTGTGTCGACTTAGTAATTAACTGTTGGTAATCCGCACAGAGGTTGTTACGTTACATTAATTATGCAGTCGCATCCGCTAATTCGGACGAAAATAAATATGTTATGAATTACCATACTTCATAGATTTACGTCTATTTCTTAACATTGCCGTTTTTTAGAACATTCTTGACTTCAAAGCAGTGGCATATAAAAAGTTCAGGATTTACTATACAAATTACGTTATTTTACCACAAATTCTGTTCTAATTATACTTTTCCCCAGAACCGCGTGAGAAAAGTTATATGCAAATGATTAAATTGAACACACTCAATTCAATCATACCCTGAGAAAAAATTTACTTATGGCAGATTCAACTTGCTGACGTAAACTTCATCTATCAGAAAACAGTAAGTTAGTTATAAAATTATGAAGCTATTTAGCAGAGTGTGTTGTACTTAATTTTGCTTACGCGCCCATGCAGCATTCAAAATTTAACATCTTACCTAAAATACAAATAAATTGCTATGGTTAAAACAAAGTCGAAAAATGCTTAGAATACGTAACTTACTTATAAATAATTGAATCGACGAAACAACAACAGCACAAAACATGCACAACTTAATGAAAAATGGAAAACAGGTGAGCAAACATTCAATACACATGGAAAACTCAACATTTAGCTCTTTCAGTTTGAATCATTATTGACACTTTTGTTAGGAACTGTTTCTTTGTATTGGTTTTATATATGTATTGCAGCTAGTGCTTTTTGAAATCGTCATGGATCACGTAAATATTGTTCAATAATGGTTTCGTTGTAAATGTAAAATATTATTTTGTTGGCCGTAATTCGAATAACTGAAACAATATATACATATATAAATGCCTTGCTTTCAACCTATGGATAGGCCATTAACCTTAATTTGCCGCCTTAGGCAGTCTATAAGTGTCTTTGTATGTATGACCTGATTTACACTATTTCAAACTTTGGGAAAACCCTAGAAGAAATATATGCGAATGTACATTAACTAAAGAATTCTTTCTTCAATATGAAAATGAATTACACTCTCTGCTAACAAATCTCCAATGATTGTTGGTGCACTTGAAGGATTTGTCTACTGTATGAGGCATTTGTACAATGCGACTATATTGGGTATTGTTGCCTGCCGATTTAAACTTGGTACGCTTCTTTGATTTGGGTTATCGCAAGCTCTCAAAACTGAATATCCTACATAGAAATCACGAGTCTCTTCATCGCTATAGGTAACTTCCAATTACACTACTGACACAAGGTTTTCGAATATCGTTCTCAATTAACTGTGGTACTTGTCGGTTTTCAACCACGACTGCAACTCATACATACAAAATATTCAAGTAGAAATCTATATCAATTTAGATGTGCTTTTCGCGGTAATTGTTTTCAACCTGGGGCCTTAGGTGGGGCCAGCCTTAAGCCACCGTAACCTATACTGCCGCAGTATGTATTCATACCGTCGTTATGTTCTTAATTTTCATCAAAAAGAAAACCTTTCAATGTTAAAAAAGAAATCACAGAAAGTTGAAGGATCAATGGGATAGTTCTATATGTCCAGAAGTTTCAAACCCTAAAATAGTCTATGTTTGTTCGTTTTTGAGTCTATGCTCCAGTATTGTTTTCCGTCAAAAAGATTTTCTGAGAGTCTCTCTTCTCTTTCTGGTTACTTAGTTGTTCGTTTTGTCGTAACCAGCCTAACCGCTCTTGCAAGTTAAAAAGAATATGGATTTAGTTGCAATAATGTGTTTCCAACTATTTCGAATATTACTGAATCTTTGTTATCGTAGAGATGAGCAATTAGTGGACAAACCACCGTGATAATCGCACATTTATGAATGAAATTTAATTTCGTGTTAAAATGGGCATTGCATGAAGACTTGATTGGACAAGTTTTCACCATGATCAATGGACGTGATTTTTAAACTGTATGGCTAAGGAAACTGAGAGTCAATAGGCTTATCCAGATTTTTCCTACGGCAAAGGAATTTGCTGGAAGGAAGATATGGATGTTGGTGCAATCTTCCCAGCCAAATGTTGAAGAAAAAGCCAATATCAGATGACGAATCTGCGGGGAAATGTTGAAGATGACGATAGAACAAATTGCTTGTATAGAATTGTTGACATCGCAATTCAGCCAATGCAGCTGGGAACAGCTAAAGCGTTATCAGCTAAACGTGACTGAGCGCGACGTATGTGGATAACAGAATTTTGACAAAAAATCTCATGACTTTGATACACGCAAGACTCGTATAGCAAAACTATTTATTTGGTGAGTTTTGTCCTTGAAATCTGAGCTGCTCGACAGAACAAATTGGTAAATTGAAATCTGAGCTGCTCGGCAGAACAAATTGGTGAATTTACCAATAGACTAATATCAAGTAATCGAGGAATCCCAGTAATGATTTATTGTCTGGATGAGGCAGTTTTCCGAATTTGTATTCATTTCACATTACTACAGTATTATGCAACAAGACAGTTGCACGTTGAACATTACTAATCTGTCTGGTGATAAGGGAGAGGCAGGTAAGTTGATACATATTTTGGATTTACTGGTCCACAAAGAAATCCGTTTAGGTAATCGCCGTTCTGAATTTTCCTATTCATTCATTTATAGGTAAAAAATTTTGTCAAACGTATCAAGTATCCTGCCTGGTAAGGTTACTTGATACGCAGTGGTAGTTTTGTTGATACACTTTGCATAAAGTCTCTCAAAATCAGGCAATTACGCTAAAAATGAAATATATATCCTTGAATATAAGATATTAAAATGTAAAGAACAATTCATTATAGTATTAAATCTCAATTCTATAGTACAAAATCTCAATATTCAGACTGGGCCCCGCGCAAACCATTCAGCATGTTACCCCTCAATAGCTTACCCCTGCCCTAACCTTGAGCATGTTTTAAGTTCCGCTCAGATAATACATATACCAGATCATTTAGTTTGGAGAGGGTGTCTAAGCGGTTGCAATACCGATTTATTATAATACACATAAGCAACTCTATTGCCTCAAATAATCTTTGTGTATATCTTGGCTACAGATGTTTGGCAAGATGTTACATCTGGGATTTGATGAAACGACTCTGTTTATTTGTTATGGAATAGATAATGATTGAACCTAAATATAACGTGAAAGCATCCAGAATTCATTGACAAACCAATACATTTTTCCGCCGATTAGAAAAAAAAGTGTTAGGCGAAAAGAAAACAATGACAAAGTATCTCACAATCTTAGAAAAATCTCAAAAGACATTGTATGAAATGGCATATTTAATCGCAAAAGATGAAAAACCACACACCATTGGAGAAACACTAATCAAAACTATTGCAATTATTCAAATTATGAATGGAGACACAGTAACTAAGGAAATGAAAGAAATACCAATGTCTGTAAATACCATTCGCCGACGTAATAGCGAAATGGGTCAAGATATTAGGTGCCAACTGATTGATAGAGTCGAAGGAGGAAAATACGCTTTGCAATTGGATGAATCCACGAATACGTCTGGTTTAGCGCAGTTGATTGTGTTCGTTAGGTATATAAGTTACTCATGTGCTTGGCGCTTTCTGGAACATGCACAGGTCAAGACATATTCTCAGCAGTGGCGACGAGACTACAGAATGATGGATTATCATGGGAGTAGTGTATTAGCCATTCTGATAGGGCTGGGGCCATGGCGGTAAAACAAAGGTTTTTAGCAAGAGTATTACAAATTGCACCTCATATCAATTTTACGCATTGCATTCTTCATAGGGAAAATCTGGCTAGCAAAACATTGGACACACCAGGGGTCCGCAAATACGGGGTCGCGACGCAAGTTTGGGTCGCGGAGCTCTCCACGCTGGGTCGCAAAACAATTTAAATTTATCATAAATATAAGCATCGCGTCTGTATACCAAATTTAGCTATATTTAACAACTATATAAAACTCTAATTATAATTATGGATTTTTCCCCCGAGTTTAGACTTCCTTATTTACTGCCGTAACATTGGCCAATCAGCATAAGTGCAGAATTTGACGTAACAATAAACGTTTTTAAATTTAGGTTGATATTAAATTTAAAAATAAAAGTGATGTTATTCAAGTAACGTATTTCTTACTTTTAGCCTGCTGCGATTTTACTGCTTTTTTTTGCAATGCCGGGGTATTCAGAAAGCAATTATTGCCCAAAAGATTGCCAAAGTAGCTACCATATAAATCGCAAAGACTCTTTTCAACTCATTATTGTTTGAAATTTCAATCAACTAAAGATTTTATTATGACATTGTCCGTCTTTTGCGGCACGTTTCTGCGGACGGGTAGTAACCTTTCCGCGGACCGGCGATGGGCCGCGGCCGGTGGTTGCCGACCACTGGTTTAGTCATTCAGACAGATTTTCATAGTTGTGAACATTACTTCCTTTTGTCGGTTTTCGCGTGTTATTTGTTAGATTTTAGTTGTGTTTTGGTAAATATAAGTCCTAAACTCGCAAAACCATTCTTGAAATAAGTACCAATAATTTTGCAATGGTAGAGTGTAAAGAGGAAGATTTCAAGAGATCAAAAGTCGGGGAAACATTCGTTACTTAGTTGTTCGCATTGTTATATCCTACTACGTAGACTTTAGGTTCTCAAAGTGCAAAGACACTTAGGGCCTCCGCGTGCTATTCGTTTGCTTGAAAACTGTCCTCGACCCACTGCCCTATCTCCATCTACGTACCTATCCTCGACCCATGGCCCGACCTCCTTCAACTTTCCTATTCTCCACCCACCGCCCTATCTCTCTCAGCCTTCGTATCCTCGACCCACTACGCTATCTCTCTATCCTTGACCCACTGCCCTATCTCTCCAACTTTCGCATCCTCGAACCACCGCTTTATCTCCCT